ACTTTCATTTAGAATGGAAGGACAGATAAGGTGCTTCTCAGATAAGATCAAATTCAAGGAGTTCATCATCACCAAGCCCTTATTATATGAAATGTTAAAGGGACTTATCTAAGAAAAAGAAGTTAAAGAAACATGAACAGTGAAAGGACAACAAACTCACAGTTATTAACAACCACACCTAAAACAAAAGCAAACTAAAAGGACAGCTAGATCAGGAGTGGAAACATAGAAATGAAGATCTCAAGGAGGGTTAGCAACAGGGGAGTGGGAGGAGGAGATGGGGGGAGAAGGGGTACAGAGAATAAGTAGCATAGACAGTAGATAGAAAATAGATGGGGGGGCAAGAATAGCATGGGAAATATAGAACCTAAAGGACTTGAGACACATGGACATAAACTAAAGGGGGGTAATGGTGGGGATGGGGGGGCAGGGTGGAGGGGAATAAAGGGGGGAATAGAACAACTGTAACAGCATAATCAATTTAAAAAAATAAAAAAAATAAAAAAATAAAAAAAACCACATTACAGCATGGAAAAAAAATAAAATAAAATAAAAATTAACTTCACCCTCTGCCGAGCTTTTGGGTTCAGCATCTCATCGCGTCATTGAGAGGGTGGTGCCATGGTTACGCCCATTACGCAGAAGAAGAAACTGAGACTTAAGGAGCGTCGGCCTCTTGCTCAAGGTCACACAGCCAGTGGGTAGGGGATCTGGGCTTCGAACCCATTTCTGTCTGACCCAGCCCTTACCCACTCTGCTGTAGGGCTCCCCAAAACACATGAAGACTGGAGCAGGGGGGCGGGCGCATCACCTCTGTGCCCATGCGGACAGACGCCAGATAAGCCTCGCTTGCTGGGATGGACCCCAAAGCTACGCACCACGACACCATGAGACTTGCCCTGCCTTCCTGGCTCCCTCGAACATCAGGCTCATCTCTGAAGCAGAAATCTCATCTCCCGCCCCCCCCCTTTGCCTCCTATTTAAAGGTGGGGTGCATTTTGCTTACCCAAAGAGGCAGGCACTTTCCCACCCTTCTCTTAGGGGTTGAGCCTTCTCTCCAGCCCAGGAGATCTATGCAGTTCAGCTCAGCAAGATAAGGATGCAGTGTTCTGTTTAGAGGAAAAACAGCCTCCAAAATGCATGTAGGGAGTGGCTGCGAGCCCCCTCCTGCTGTGTGCAAAGGCTGTTCTATAGGGTCAGCAGGGGGGTCTCAGGCCTCCCGATTTAGAAGGGAGGGACTCTAATTCAGAACTGGGATTTGAGAAGGTGACCAGCCTGTGGTGGGGGGATTGGAGAATTTAAGTCTAGAGACAATGGAGGCCAGGGGTGAAGGTGGTGTCATTTCACAGGTGACAGAAGATGGCGGTGTTGCCTAGGGCAAGATAACAGGGAGGAGGAGAAGGGGATAGATAAAATAGTTCATTAAAAGAGAACCATACATTGATGTTTCTCTCCCTCTCTCCTTCCCTTCCCCTCTAAAGATAAATAAATAAATAAAATCTTTAAAAAAAAAAAAAGAGAGAGAGAAGCCACCCTGGCTGGTGTGGCTCACTAGGCTGGTCACTGACCTGCAAACCAAAAGGTCACTGGTTCAATTCCAGTCAAGGCACAGGCCTGGGCTGTCAGCCAGGACTCCAGCTGGGGGCATGTGAGAGGCAACCAATCGATGTTTCTCTCTCTTTCCTTCTTCCTTCCTTTCTTTCTTTCCTTCTTTCTAAATGTTATTTACTTATTTATAGAGAAAGGAAGGGAGGAAGGCGGAGAAACATCAATGTGTGGTTGCCTCTTGTGCGCCCCCTACTGGGGACCTGGCCTGCAACCCAGGCACGTGCCCTGACTGGGAATTGAACTGGCGACCGTTTCCTTAGCAGGCCCATGCTGAATCCACTGAGCTACACCAACCAGCACTCTCTCCCTCTCTTTCTTCCTCCTTGCCCCGCTCTCTGTAAATAAATAAATAAAATCTTTAAAAAACAGATGGAATCCATGAGATTTGGTGACTGATTGGATGTTGGAGGTGAGCTAGGGAATAAGGCAGCTGGACAGGAATCTCTTCCCAGACAGAGCAATGAGCCTGAGCAGGCTCCTTCTCCAAGAAGTTTTACTGCTCGCTAGACAAAGGACACAAGCGTCATTGGCTCTAGGCTTCTAGGGGATCGGGGTTTTGATCATGAAGTGAGCAATTCCAACAAACCTTTCCGATGGTGACTGAACAGGGTACCAGGTGGGATGCATTCAGCTGCAAACAAAAGACAACCTGGTTCCCGGTGGCAAAAACCGTAACTGTGACTTTATCAGGGGCCCCAGGCTTATTTCATGGCTCAGTGAAATCCTTTTTTCCATTCTCTGTCCTTGGTTTGTTGAGTATCTTTCCCAGCTTCCTACCTCATGGTCTCAAAAAGGCTGCCTCAACTCCAGATAACATGCCATCATGTGATATGATTAGATTATGTTATGAACCTGTGAATGTGTTACGTGATATAGAAAAAAGGACTTTACAGATTTAATTAGGGTAGAGAGAACCCGGGCCCCCAGGGCTCCGTTGACTGGGCGTTGTCCTGCAAAGCCAGAGGTCTCCGGCTGGATCCCCGGTTGGGGCATGTGCCTTGGTTGTGGGCCTGATCTTCAGCTGGGGCACAAGCAAGAGGCAACTGATCCATGTTTCTCTCACACATTGATGTTTCTCTCCCTCTCTCTAAAATGAAAAAAAAAAAAAAAAGAAGGAAAGATAGGGAGAGTAGCCTGATTATCCAGGTGGTCCCAGTCCCAAGACACAAGCCATTCAAGACAAAAGACACAAGAACTTTCTCCACCCGGAGGCAGTAGAGAGATTCGGCCGGAAGAAAAGCCAGAGAGATTCTGGGAGTGAGAGGTACTTGTGTGCTGCTGTCTCTCAGATGCAGGGCTCACGCACTATCGGGGGCTAAGGGCAGTTAGGTCCCTTGCTGACAGCCAGCAAAGACATGGGGACCTCGGTCTCACAGCTCCCAGGGCCTGGATTCTGCCACCAACCTGAATGAGCTTGGGAGCAGGTTCTCCCCACGGCCCCTCCAGAAGAGCCCAGCTGGCAACACCATTTTCAGCAGAGAAACCGCTGGGCCAACCTGCACTTCTGACCTGCAGGACTGTGTGAGATGATGAATTTGTGTTATTCCAAGTGGCTTGATGGTAATGGATTGTGAATATATTTTATGAAGAGCTCACACAGTTACTTAAATACAAGAAGCAGGGATGGCTTCTCGGGACGCTGTCTCCGTTTTTTTCAGATGTGGATCAATTTCCAGGCACCTCCAGACACCTCTGTCTCACCCTCTCCCTTGAAGTTGTTGCCCAAAACGCTGTTCTATCCTGACCACCCAGCTCAGTCCTGCATCCTGTGTGCCTGCCTAGCACTCTGGAAATACTTAACGAGCGGAAATGATGCTTATGACCTTGACCCCCGCCCACGACACTCATCCATTTCTAAACATCATAGACAATTCGAGATTTACCATGTTTCTCACTTTTTGTCTCCCCCTCCCCCTCTCCCCGCCCTCCATACAGTGTCATCCCTTTAAGAACAGAAGTCTGGGTCTGTTTCATTTGCTGCTGTGCCCTAAGCTCCTAAAACAATGCTTGACCCCGAGTAGGGCCAAAGAAATCTTCGCTGAGGGCAGCCAGGGTCACGCACGGACTGGGAGGTCAGTCAGGGTCATGCATGAGAAGGCGCAGCTGGGAGCCAGCCTGCGTGACTGGGGCTGGTCGGTGAGGGGGCAGGCGGGACGGAACTGGGTTGATTCTCACTTGTTAGAAACAAAGTAGACGTTGTGCTACAGGGAGGAGTCCAAAAAGCCCCGTTCGCTTGCTGGGGCAAGAAAAGAGGGAACCTGCCAGGGGTGGAGAGGGGGCAGGGACTTGGGGGTAGGGGGAGACCATGTTCCTTGATCTGGGAAGTCCGCTCTAGTGGGGGCTCGTCCTGTTGGTGGGGCGGAGGGTGGGGCCAAGCAGAGGCCGTCTGGGGGACGCCTGGCTGAGGAACAGTGGGGAATCAGAAGACTCGGACATTCTGGGCAGAACGGGGTGGATGACTGGGGGTGGGGGAGTCTTGGACGCCAACGTGTTACCGGCACCATGGACTTGGGGAGTGTGGTGGGTGATTGACTGGCGTACAGAGGAGATCGGGCTGCAGGCAACGGGAAGCCGGGGCAGGCCTGCGGGAGGCGGCGCACTGAGAGGCGGACTGCCTGGCAGCCGGAACCCCTGGCCCAGAGGCCCTGCGACTTTGGGCGAGTCACCTCCCTCCTGCGAGCTTCAGTGCCCCAGCCGCTGAGGCCGGAGAGTGAGCTGCTAAGAAAGTTCCCGGGCAAGTGGAATGAGGAAACAAACAGATGACCGAACAAACCAGGTCACCCAGGTACAGAAGGTCACCAGGGCAAGTGGAAAGCCCTGGTTGGCTAGCAACAAGCAAAACCAGCGCTGGATCTTGCCTTCCGGGCGGCCTTTTCTCCCCGGCAGGCTGGCCCTGTGGTTCCGACCCCTGACCTTCGCTCCCTGGAGATGACACCTAGGCCTCAGGTGGACTTTGGCTCCAGGTCCAGAAGAGCAGCCAGACCAGGCTGGGCCGCCCGTGTCTCCCACCCCCTCCCCGAGCCCTGGAATCCTTATCAAGGGCGTCATTTCGGCTCCTTCAGGGTTTCCAGGCTGCTGGTGGTGAACTTGGCACTGGACCTGAGTGTGTGAAGCTGTCAACAACCAGGAGCCATTATTGTTGTTGTTTTCCTTGCTGTCCACCATCACAATCTCAGGCCCTGGTTCCTTTCAGGCTCCAGTTGTCCCTTCCTTCTCCTGGGGTGGCTCTGTGTCCTGGCAAAGATGGGGGGAGGGGAGGCTGGGGCAGCATCATTCTCAAGAGGGCCCTGGGCCAAGAGGAAGGATGTGTTTTCTTTCTTTGTCCACCTTGGGGAAACCCCGGGGGTTCCTGGGGCTCCTGTTTGCTGCGCTGGGTCAAGGAAGCAAAGTGAGGGCACTGGGGGTGGAGGGTGAAGGTGGCACCAGTCCCTCCCCTGCCGCCACCACCCATTTGTCCTGGGAGCTGCTGTCACCCGAGCGAGCGCCTGTGAGTTTGCAGCAGGCCAGAGGGGAAGAGCAGGGTGCTGGAGTGAGGACGGTGTCCCTGTGTGCAAGCCGGGCCGCACCGAAGCCAGGCACTGGGAGCCATGGGGCCCCCTGGCTCCTACGGTCCCCAATGGGCAGGCATCCTGCTCTCAGGTGAGTGTCCTGCTCCCTGCAGATGCGAGTGGGGTGGGGGTTCTGTGCGTGTGTACAGGTACACCGAGACAGAGCACGGAGAAATAGAGACCCATAGAGACAGACAGAAAGAGACTTGACAGAGGGGGACAGAGACCAGGGACGGTGACACATACACAGAGAGAGACAGAGAGATGGAGTTAGAACCACAGAACCAGAGAGAGAGAGAGAGGCTGGAAGAGAGACTGGCAGGGAAGACTGGAACGGAACAGACAGACAGACAGACAAGCGGGAGTGAGACAGGCGGAGGGAGGATGCGCCCCCTCCCAGCGGGTCAGGAAGTCATGCATCCGCGTTCTCTGAGGAAGACTGTTCTGGAAATAGGTTCTCCCGCAGTGTAGTGGGGAAGGAATGTCAGGTCCCACGTAGGGGAGGATTTTGAGCAACAGCGTCAAGATTTGTCAGAAGGCGCCTCGAAGAGGCTGCCGCACTCGATGTGGCCCTTCCCCGGCCCTCAGCTGGTGGAGCGCGTCCGCTGTGCCCAGGTGCACCTCACCTGGCGTCTCATTTACAACCAGGTGGTTCAGCTCCGTCTCCCTGGGGGAGACGTCCAGCTTCCAGGGCCACAGGCCTGCACCTGCGCCCGACAGGTCCAGGAGGGCGGGGCCCGGACTGGGTCACGACCCCGTGCAGTCTCAGCTCTCCCGCTACAGAGACTGGGGCTTCCTTGTGCTTCCTCGGGCTTGGAAGAAAGCAGGGTTTCTTCCAAACTATATAATCTCTTTCCTGACTTTTCCAAGGCCTGCGTCCTCATCCTATCAGATCTTTTCCCCAGATTTTCCTGGGTTTATTTCCTTCCCTCTGCGGCTTCCATCCTGGCTTCCATTGCGCCTGCGCCCAGTGAAAGAATTTTCCTCTCCGCCATTCCCCACCCCCCACCCCCCATCCCCCTTAGTGGGGCAGACTCCCTGGGGTGACTGTAAAGCCTCTTTCTTTTTCTTTCTTTCTTTCTTTCCTTCCTTCTTTCTTTCTTTCTTTCTTTCTTTCTTTCTTTCTTTCTTTCTTTCTTTCTTTCTTTCTTTCTTTCTCTCTCTCTCTCTCTCTCTCTCTCTTTCTTTCTTTCTTTTTTTAGAAATATTCTTTCCTTTTTAAAAAATTTGTCTTTAGAGGGGAAGAGAAGGAGCGAGGGAAATATCAATGTGAGGTTGCTTCTCGTGCATCCCCTGCTGGGAATTGGCCTGCGACCCAAGCATGTGCCCTGACTGGGAATCAAACCAGTGATCCTTTGGTTTGCAGGCCCACGCTCAATCCACTGAGCTACACCAGCCAGGGCTTAAAGCCTCTTTTTTCATGACTCCGACACCCCAAGTCAGAGTCCTTTCCTCGGTAATCGAGCTGTTTTTGTTCTGCTCCCTCTCTTTTTGTTAATATGTAGCTAACTTCTACTGTAACATCAAGACAGAGGATGGAGGTGAAACTTATGCTTAATGGGTATCCGAGGCAAAAGGCGGAAACTGCAGTATTTTGATACAAAAAGCATTTTGTAGGCGAAGATGTGGTTTGCGATGTGTGGTGTGCAGAGGTGAGGGCTCAGCTTGACTGCAGGGGCTCCAGAGTCCTGCTGCGGGGAGAAGGGGGGAGAGAGAGAGAGAGACTGTGCATTGCTCTGCAAAGTCGGCTTCCTCCTGGTGCACAGAAGGCCGGACTCGGGAGGAGGCAGGAGGGTGGGTGCCCAGTGAAGACCCCACAGAGGGATATTCACTTCAGACGGGTGTGGTGAGGCCCCCACTGATGCTTTCACTCACATTTTTTCATTCATCCTTACAACAGTTCAATGAGGCAGGGACTATTATGATCCCAGTCTACAGATGGGGAAACTGAGACTCGGACAGAGAACATCACCTGCCCCCGCACAAATGGCAAAGCTAGGATTCAAACCCAGGCGGGTGGACTCTGAGCCTGTGTGTGGACTTAACCGCTAACGGCATTGGCTGCAGAAAATCCAGACATAAGAGATTAGAGTAATAATGCGACTGAACACTTACTGTGAACTGTTGTAATAAGCGTGTCGCCCCTGAGATCTCAACAGACTTCACAGCAACCCGAGGCACTAGGCTCTACTATTCTCCCCATTGCGCGGTTGAAAAAACTGAGGCTCACGAAGACAGAGCCCCTTGCCCCTTGCCCATGATAGCAGAGCCAGTAGGCATCAGAGTTAGTATTTGCTCCCAAAAGGCTGAGCAGGGGACGGGGTAGTGCTGGGGCCAGACTGGGGACATTGAGGGTGTAGAGAAAAATGGTCATCGGCCCCTGTTAATTGGGCTGCAGGGAAGGGTGAGGGCGTGTCAAGGTCAGCTGCACCAGACCATGGCTGCTGAGCTTAGGGGCCCCTACCCATGCCCACCTCTCGTCAGGCCTCCAGGAAACTGTGCAGCGTGGCCAGGCGTAAAACCGGAGACTCTTACTATCTGGTTTCCCTTTTCTCCCTCATGCAAGGGACGTCTCTGCCTGGGAGCAAGTCTGAGGAAGAGCCAGGGAAATTCCTCACCCACCCCCAGAAGAGCACAAGTGCCCTTCATCAGGGGTAGGATCTGGGCCCATCCCTGGGCTTGTGGGGTTGTTGAGAACACAGTCTGGAGGAGCTGGCAGGCCAGGTCCAAGGTTGGCTTCTGCCACCTCCTGTGTGGTCTTAGAAAATGACTTCATCTCTCTGAGCGTCTCTCCCGCTCTGGGTGCAATTGGGTGGCTGATCACGCACCTCCCCCAGAGGGAGCCGGTGCTCGCTACCACCCCACGACAGCCCTAGGATGCGGGTGGGACTGTGCCCATCTCACAGCTGGGAAAACTGAGGCTCAGAGAAGATAGAAACATGCCACAAGTCCCACAGCCAGTAAGTATCGAGGAGGAGTCCGGCCTCTGGGGATGGAGATCCTTTGCTGATGAGGAACAGAACTGGACGCCCTCCCCTCTCAACATACCTCTCCCTCCATAAGTACCTCCTCTCTCCCCGACCAGCCTCACTTTTGACCCTGTGGAGCCTGCCCGCTGTAACCCAGCTCAACCTTGACGCCGACCTGCTCAACATCAGCTCAAGTGAGAAGGACTGTTTCTGTGCTGGGGACCCCTTAGGCACTCCAGACTCATGGCTGATTCAGAGATGTGGGCACAGAAAACGAGGCTGTGATTCTCAAGCGCCCGTCAAAGCTCCATGTCCAAAATCCCAACAGGACGAACCCGATGGGCCCGGCTGGGGTCTAGCAACCACTGGTTGGATCCGCTGCACCGGGGGGCCGGGGGGAAGGCGGCAGGCAGTGTGGCCATAGCCACGGGTGGGGGAGGTCAGCTGCCATCCCTGGTGCCAGGCTGGCTTGATTCTCTTTGGAGCTGATATTCATCAACCCAGTATCAGGTCCCGGACCTTCTGCTGTATTTTTACAACCGCGTGAGACAAATGTACAGAGGGGGGAAGTAAGTTGCCCAAGCCCACGCCCAGAATGAGCAGTAGCTCCAGGATTTGAGCTCAAGCCCTGAGCTTATGTGTCTTCTGACCATGTCAACCTCTCCCTGTCTCTCTGGGCTCCTCTGTTGACTATGTCTCGCTTGGTCTTTCTCTGTGCATGTCTGCCTCTCTCTCTCTCTCTCTCTCTCTCTCCCTCCCTGTGCAGGGTTGCTGGCCAAGCCCACCATTTCCATCAACCCGGGCATTGTCACAGAGCATGCGGAAAATGTGACCTTCCAATGTGACACCAAGGACATCAGCCCTGTCATCCACTGGGTCTTCAGCAATCGCCCGCTGGTGGTGCATGAGCGCATTCAGCTGTCCCCAGATGCCAAGGTGCTCACCATCTCCCCTGTCTTGCGGGGGGACGCCGGGAGCTACCAGTGCGAAGCTTGGGATAGCCAGGGGTCCCAGAGCAGCGACCCCACCTACCTGGTCGTGAACTGTGAGTCCCTTTCCGTGCCCCTAACCCCTTGCTGACATCCACCTCCTTGGTGTTTTCGTTTAGTCACGTAGCTTCGAATACCACCCAAATGCGGACTTGTCTACCCTTAAACTCCAGGTGTGTAATTGGTTTAATACCTCCGCCTGGATTCTACCAGAAGCATCCAACTCAATGTATCTAAAACTGAGCTTAACCTTCCCCTGTTTGATTCAAAGTCTTGCCTGGGTCGGAAGAAGGAAAAAGCACTTGCTGGCATGTTTCCTATGTCTTCCGATCCTGTCCCGTCCAGGAACACGGCTGGCATTTTCTCTCCATTAGATGCCTGCATCTCCTCATGATCGGTCCAGAGCTTGGGTGGGGAGAAGAGAAAGAGCAGTATTATCCCAGTCAGATCCTCTAAGAGAGCGGGTGCTGATGCTATTGTTTGCTGCTGTGACCTCCTTTGTCCTCCCAGATGGTCCTGACCCCTTTGACATCAAGGTGGCGCCCAGCGCGCCCAGCGGAGAGGTGGTGAGCGTGGTAGAGGGTTCCAACGTGACCTTCTCGGTGACAACGCAGTCTCGCCCAGTCCCAACCTATTCCTGGTTCCTCCCCAACGACTCCTCCCCATCGTTCACCAAGAGAACATTCACCATCCACGCCGTGTCCAGGGAACACGAGGGCACGTACAGGTGCTTGGTGAACAACAGTGCCACCCAGCTGTCCCGCCTGGGTGCTCTCAGGGTCCAAGTCATTGGTGAGTCTCTTCTGCTCTGCTCCTTTCCTTGGTTCCCACGAGAATCAGAGCCCCCCAGAGTTTGAGGAGGACCCAGAGCAGCGGGGGTGTCCCCTGTGGCTGGTGGCAGAGCCGGGCTCCGACCACAGGGGAGGAGGGCCCTGCTGCTGCCTCGGTACACCCTCCACGAGATCTGCCTGGTCTCCGTGGTCGTCATGATCCGCTTCTCCGGAAGTTGGGGGTTCGTTCTCAACAGACAGAAATACTGACACAACACTCACACACGTACACACACACAGAGTCGCCCACACAAATGATAGTCACATGTGCGCAGCACACAAGAGACACAAACCACACAAGCACAACATGTAACACAAGCACAACATGTACGACCACAGACATGACACACTCACATAAAACACATGTAACATGCATATAATAGACATAGACGAGACAATACACAGCACATAACACATTGCAGACACACACACCATACCCCACCCACAACACATGTGTCCAATACACACACATGTGCATGATACAAACCAACACGCAGGATATGCATATAAAACACAGACACATGTCTCTCTCATACAACACACCTACAATGAACAAAACCACAAACACACAAATTCACTCCCACAAAAAACACGTATATGCACAATGGAACATGGGGCAAAAGTAGGTTTACAGTTGTTCATATGGAAAACATGCAATAATTAAAATATATACAAGGATAAACTCTGTTTTGTGTACTCACAACTGTGAACCTGCTTTTGTCCCACCCCTTTGTTGTGTGTAGATAACATACACACAGCACACACGTCACACTCAACATTTCCACACGCAACACAGAAAACACCATGTGCCATGCATTCAACATGCCCCACGTACAACTGACATGCAGCACACAGTGTATCCACAGACTACATGCACCACACAGCCATGTACAAAGCATGTGCTTACACCACACAACACATACATGTGACACATATGGTGTGACACCACAGACACACAACACATACTTTTGTACAGAAACAAATTTACAGACAGCACACACTCACACACACATGCATACATATAACAACCGCACCTCAGAGTCACAAAACACACACACATACCACACATACAACAGACACAAACGCACCTAAAATACAACCACATACTCCATACACACAAAACCCACAATATGTTCACATCATTGTCACCATACAATACACACTCATACACAAAAGACTTGCACATCCCACCCACACAATATAGTCACATGCAAAGCACACACACACACACACCACACATGACACATGCACACACATCCTTGGAAAGCCCCGTGGGCCTGGCCTGGGCAGGAGACTGGGGAAGTGTCCCCGAACCTTCTCCTCTATGTCTGTGTTGCCAGAAGTCACGACCAAGCCTCTCATCATGACCCCAAGCCTGAGCGTCGTGGAGAATGCCAACACCGTGTCCCTGACCTGCCTGACCAGCCACGAGGGGCTTCCAGTCCAGTGGTTAGTGAGGGGCCGGCCCCTCCTGCCCAGCCAGCACCTGGTGCTGTCTGCTGACAACAGGACCCTGGTCATCCGCCGCCTCTGGAGGAACGACACGGGGCCCTATGCGTGTGAGGTCTGGCACGGGGACAGCTGGACCCGCAGCGACCCTCTCAGCCTGACCATCCACTGTGAGTCAGCCCAGCCTGGACCTTCTCCGACTCCCTCCCTCCCTCGCTTGTAGTTTTTTCTCTAGCCACTCATTCCACAATTACTGGGTATCTGCTCTCTGCCAGGCATGTCTGGGTACGAAGAAGACAAAGCCGCTGCCCTGGAGGAGGCCACACAGTAGTGGGGGAGACAGACCATGAACAGCTTAGCGGGAGAGACGCGTGGTGTGTCCCACGGTGCTAAGGCCAAGGAGAGCCACGAGGCAGCGACAGGGCCAGGGAGGGCCAGGAGGGGGAGGTGTTGCAGGGGGAGGTAGTCAGGGGGGGCCTCCTGGAGGAGGTGGCCTTGGGGCAGAACTGGAAGGAGGCAGGCAGTGAGTCGTGCAGGCAGCTAAGGGAAGAGAGCTCCAGGGGGAGGGAATAGGCCGTGTGTGGCACGCCAGAGGGCCGCAAGGGAAACAAGACGACCAGAGAGGTGAATCAGAGGGGAGAGTGGAACAGGAGAGGTCAGCAGGTGACAGCGTCGGGGCGGGTCACGCAGGGCACTGCGGGCAGCGGTGGGGGCACCAGAACCACAGAGGCGCTGAGCAGCGGAGGGATAAGTCCAGACAGGTTCATAGGTCTCCCTGGCTCTTGTCTACAGAGCGGAAGCAGCGGGGAGGGTGGAGGCTGTAGAAAGGGTGTGTTCGGGTCCTTGGAGAAGCAGCCCCCAAGGTGGGATGACATGGGAATAGGTGTGCAAAGATTTTATTAAGGGAGATGCTCCTGGGACAAAAAGTAGAGTTGGAGCCAGGAAGGCTGGGAGAGCCGTGGGGCTGGGACGCGAGCCTGACCCAGAGTGAGAGGGAAAGGGAGGGATCCCTGGGCTGGGTGGAAGCATGTGGACCACCATGCAGTCTAAGAAACGTTGTCGAGGCTGTCGGGAGTCCCATGGCTCCCGGGAAGGGGCCTGCCTCAGTTTCCCCAGCACACTCAGATACTGGCAGGGTGCAGCCCACAGGAAGGCAGGGAGTGGATTTCAGGGCGGAGCAGCTGGACCTTCGGTTAATTCAACTCAGGCCGTTGGAGGGCTGCAAGGCGCCCCCTGGTGGTGACCGAGCGCAATTGTCTAACAAGACGTGATGGGGCTGGGCCAGGGTGGCGTCTGTGGGTGGTGACGAGAGGTGGTCAAATTACGGATATATTCGGAATATCAAACTCACAGGATTTGCTACCGGTTAACATAAAGCAAAAGAGAAAGAGAGCAGTCAAGAACAAGTCCAAGGCTTTTTGCCCGAGCTACTCAAAGGATGTAGAAACTAGGAGCTGAGGTGGAGAAGATTGGGGGGGAAGAGGTTCCGGCAGCAGGAGGAAGCAGGGGTCCGCTTTTTATACACGTTGCTGTAGCACGGAGATGCAGATAAAGGGCTAAATGCAATACCTTTCTCCTCTTTCCGCTCCTCTGTTGCTCTCTCTTTCCTTTCGCTTTCCGTCATTAAACCAAAACTTCCTATTTTGTCCTCTCTATGCTGATCAGCGTGTTGGGAGCTTGGTGAGAGCCAGCATGACTTCCGGAGCTCACAGCCTACTCGGGTCTGGGAGAGCAACCACCAGGCAAAGAACACAGAGTGCCATAAGCGCTGCCGTGGGATGAGAGGATTTGGGGAACCCATAGGACGCCCAGCCAGCCAGCGGGGTGTGGGAAGGCTCACAGTGAGGGGCGGTGTCTTTCCTGAGATCTGATGCACCAGCACGTCAGCTAGGTAGAGCAGACTCAGGCAACAGCATCCCAGAGAAGAGAGAGAACACGGAGTGGCTTTGAGGCAAGAGGGGAACATGACGAGGGTGGAATAACGAAGCGGGGTCTTATTCCTGGATTGAGCGTGGAAGGTGTGGAGAGGTGAGTGAGGCGGTTGGAGGGGCCAGCGCAGGCCAGAGGGTGAGAGAGCTCGTTAGCCATGGGCTTTATCCTGGGGAGACTGGGGAGCCAGGGAGGGCTCTCAGCAAGGGTGGGGGAGTGTCCTGGTCGCCCTTGGAAAGACCCCTCTGGCTGCTGTGTGGAGGATTTGAGACCAGGAAGCAGTGGGCAGAGGAGGGAGCTTGGTGGACCCCGGGTTAGGACGGGGAGAAAAGAACAGATTCAAAGATATTTAGCAGAGGGCAGGGGCAGGATTTTCCTCCTTTCCCGGAATGTTCCAACTAGAAACTCTTTGCACGCTTCTTTCCCAGTAGCTGACGATAATTTAAACAAGACAAGACTCAAACTCTTGGCTTGCAGGAGAAATCCACCAGACTTTTCATTTGTTTCCTTCACGGATGTGAGAAGACAGCAAATGCTCTTTACAAAGAAAACCCACTGGGGTCTCTACCACAGAGAATACATAGACGTAAAAGTACATATTGTTACAGAGCCACGTGTTGTTAAATAAGAAATCCCATCAGAATTTCTTTGGAAATTCACAGGACACGGCAACAATTTCTGAAGCCCAGCTTGTGATGAGGCTCCTTTGTTAGCATTCGCTTTTGGCAGGGGGAGGGTGTTTCGGTTTTGATTTTGATTTGCCTTCTTCCATGTTGCAAATTACTATCTACTCACTAGGCAGCTCAGGGGGAAAGGGAGGGTTTTCTTCTTATGTTGCCGAGATGCCTTTCACCTGCAGTTAAAAGAGCCTTTGCTGCCTGGGGTACAACCTGGAATTCATCCGAGTTAGAATTGAGAAGAGGCCGGGTCCGGCGGCTCGGTTGGTGGGAACATCGTCCCATACGCCGGAAGGTTGTGGGTTTGATTCCCAGTCGGGATGCTTATGGGACGCAACTGATCAATATTTGTCTCTCACATCAAAGTCTCTTTCTCTCTCACATCAATAAACACATTCTTGGGTGAAGATTAAAAAAAAATTAGAGAAAGAAAAAGACGAAACTTGCAATGTGGAAGAAGATACGATAACTCGTCAGTGGAGGGTGGACACATGTTTGGCTTTGCACACAGATGGCCCTGACCACGTGGACATCACCAGGGGGTCGCAGTCCGGGGTGGTCAGCCGCGTCCAGGCGGAGCTCAGCTCCAGCCTGACTCTGCAGTGTTGGGCCAAGTCCCAGCCAGACGCCGAGTATCGCTGGACCCTTGAACACTTCACCGCTGTGTATACGGGGGAGAAGCTGGTCATCGAGTCCCTGAGCTGGGAACATCAGGGGACCTACAACTGCACGGCGCTCAACCCTCAGACCCGCCTGGCCCACTCCGCCTCGGTCCTGGTCAGTGTGGTTGGTGAGTCCTTCAGTTGCACTGCCTTCTCCTGGGGGTAAAAGTGGCTTTTCCTGGGCTAGAGGTGTAGAAATGAGTGCACTGCATGGGCAGGCTGCCAGCCCTGGGCTGTTCAACCCTAACCCCTAACGCCCGGGCCCTAGAACCTCTACTTTCTAGCCGCGTGCCCTGGAGACCTCTGAGGCTGCTCCAAGCCTCAGTTTTCCTGCCGGAGTAGATGGGGTATGTGATGCCTGCCTTTCATAGCTGCCTAGAAGTACAATGAGCCAGGGAGAGAAGGAGTGAGCTGCTGAGGGAATTGGGAATTACATCAGTAGCTACCGGGTGTGACTGGCAGTGAGTCTCTCTATGTCTGTCTTGAGGTCTTGAGCAGGCAACACAATGTCACTATTAGTGGGGCTCACATCCTGGCTCCAGTGCTTATAAAGCTGTGTGACCGTGGGCATGTTACTTAACCTCTCTGGGCTTCTGATCCCTTACCTGTAAAACAAACAAAATAATTATGCTTTATATATATATATTTATATATATATATATATATATATATACACACATACATATGCATATATATGCACATACATACATACACACACATATATATATATAAATCATAGGTTTGTTGAAGACTAATTAATGTGTAAAGTTCTATGGCAGTGCCTGACATTGCATTTGTTAAACAGATAGAATTATTCTTTATTGAGTCTGCACCACACGCCTGGAGCAAGTCTTTCTATGTATAATATCCGCAAATAGTTCTTGGGCATCTCTGCCTGCCAGCTATGAGGCGGACCTGCATCTCTATTGGACAGTGGAGACTCCGGCCCTGTCCTTAGGGTTGCAAACCAGGCTGGCTGCCTCCAGAGCAACCTTCTCAGTTGTCCACTAAGCAGAGGACCCCATGCGGCTTCCCGAATTACCTCATTTATTCTTCGGACAAGCCCCCTGGTCTTGTTCGGACCATTTCCTGGGTGGAGAACCAGAGGCTCAGAAGAGGAAGCAGTGAGTTCACTTGATGTTCCCGGGATGTAGGATTTGAATGAGATGCAGTAGGAAAGACTCTTAGAGCTTAGAGCTTGGTGGATGTCAGTTTCTATCATCATCATCGTCATCATCATCACCTTTTATTGAGTCCTCACTATGTGCCAGGCACAGACGCTGGGGCTTTTCCACATGATCTCATTGCATCCCTTAAAAAGCCTGTAGGGATATAAATCGCTATGCTTGTTTGACATGTAAAGAAATGGAAGCTCCGTGAATGAAACCGAGAACCGCTCAGGCACCTGGGAAACCCCTCCTGCTCCTCCAGTGCCCACCCCCTTCCTCGTAGCCCGACCCTATTGGCTGCCTTCTCGATCCCTGTGGCTGAACGTAGCCCCTTTGAGAAAGGTTCTGGGCAGAAGCAGGATGGGCACACAGTAGGCCAATATTAATAATAACCACTGTCATTTATGAATCCATCCCCTACTGCGTGCCTAATATTAACATTCAAGATCTCATTTCACCTTCACAACAGTCCTGGGCAGTGGGTATCACTTCCCTCACTTTGCAGATGAAGAAATAAGCCTTGAAGGGGAAGTCACTTGTCCTGGGTCGCAGGGTCCCAGAGAGTGAAGGGTGATGCAGGGGAAAGCCAGGTTTCGGTTGTCAAAGCCCTCTCCTGTGGAAGCCACCTTTTTGATCCATCATCCTAAGCGGGATCATTGTCACAGCCGCACAGCCGTGTGAAGTTGACCCTCTTATTCCCATTTTACAGAAGAGACAACTGGAGCACAGAGAGGTTAACAGCAAGGTCAAGGTCACACAGCTGCTAGGTCAGGCTATTGCTACCACAAATTTCTAGCTCTCCGTGATTGGAAAACCAGCCTCGTCAAATGAGGTGGCGATGAAGCCACAGGCTTGGGAGTGGGGCTGGGAGCAGGGCTGGGAGGGTGCCAGGTCCAGCCCCCCCCACCCCGTTCTCTCTTCTGACCCAGGTCCCCAGGCATCGCTGTCTGCAGGGTCCGTGGCTGGCATTACCATCGGGATCCTGACAGTCGTTGCCCTGTCCGTCGGGCTGGGCTGTTTGCTTTACATCAGAAATGCCAGATGGTAAAACTGGGAATGGGTTGGGAGGTGTGGCCTTTGGGGGCCCTGCCGTGCAGTGTGTGTGGGGGTAGGGTGGGGGGGTGTTGCTTACCATGAGCTGTGTCCCGGGCACATGGGGAATTCAGAGGGTGTGCGGCATGGCCTACGAATGCATGTACCACGTGAGCGGAGCCCCTGGAGATGGGATGGACTAGATGCACAGAAGCATGAGGACTTTGTGGGGTTTCAGGCCCTCAAGGAAAAGAGCAAAGGACCCCATCCATGAGGCCGCCACACGTACCTCCAAGGAGAAGCACCCTGCCCAGCCCAGTTCGGGTAAGTGGCTTTGTAGCTGATACCCAGGGCAGTTGTGAGGGCTGGGGAAGGGGCGGGTGCTGGGAGCCCTCCTGCTCTCAGCTTGGCCACCAGGTCACTATGATCTTATGGGCAAGCCCTGCTTTCTCCAAGCCTCAGTGTCTCCATCTGGAAAATGGGTGAGATTAGAGTGAGGAACTCTTGAGTTCTGTCTGCTCCAACAGCCACAGTGAAAACAAGGCACCCATGCTGCCCTTCTCTCTTCCCTCAAGCTCGGAAAAGTTTGTTGATTGATTGCTACAGACAGAAGGAATCAATCACAACACTCCTCTCTGCTGATTCCAAACCTGCCTCAGAATCCATCTCAACACAGTGGACCAGGCACCTCTACTGATGGGTGGGAGTTGACCAGAGGCAAAGGGAAACATCTTTGCCATCACTAGCCTAGAATTCTGGAAGGATGGTCCTCAGCAGGCAGAAGTCCTCCAGAGACTGTCCAGTCTCGCTCAGTTTGGACAAACCCATGTGACTGGGGACCCAGTCGTGCAGCTGGGGCTAGGTCTTAGATTTCTGTTTCATCTGCTTCATCAAAGAGCCTTCTCTGACCAGGAGCTAGTTTTCTGGGACATCTCCGGTCAAGCTTGCTGGAGATTGGTGAGGAGTCCTGGAGAGAGAGAGAGAGAGAGAGAGAGAGAGAGAGAGAGAGAGAGAGAGAGAGAGAGAAAGGAAGGTTGCTATCACTTCCTTCCTGGGAATAGCAGTGACCCGGGAAAACAGCCCCTCCCCTCAGATTTCTTCCTAACTCCAGCCCTGGGCTGGCATTTGATTTCTCTAGATCGGCCAAGGACTGTGTACGACAATATACTTGAACTTCAAGATCAGGTCAAGGTCAAAAAGGTGGGTGATGCTCCAGAGGGACCCTCCCTGCTCCTCTGCCTGGCTCTTCTTCTTCAGCCTAGAAGGGCTGTTCCAGTCCCATATCTTGGGGTGGGAGGGGGTCGGGCATGTTTCCTTGACGACCCTAGTGCCAGCTTGCATTTCCTGTTCTGTCATCTCAGGGGATCCCAAGGGCCTCCTGGCTTTTCCACCTCTTCTCCTTGTCCTCTTGTTCTTCACTGTGACAGTGCACAGCCTTGAGCCCCCCTGGGAATCAGAAGAGATGTAACTGCCTCTGAGGTTAATGCCACTTCTGAGAATTTCTGTCGTGGCCCCAGTCCCAAGCCCTGTGACCTCTTCATTTCTTTTTCTGTCCCCAGACGCTGCCTCCAGAGCCCCCAGAGCAGTTGTATGAGGTACATTGACTCTGCTGGATTTGATTTTAAAGCTGCAGAGGGAACACAATCCTAGAGTTTTAGATTTGGCAAGTATGAGGAACCATCTTGCCTACATCTTTCTGGGGCATTGCAGGGCCAGGGATGGGGAGAAAGTAGAAAGTGCAAATCGGTACTTTCCAGACAGTGTGATTTTAAGGCAGTCTGCGCCTGTGGACGCTAATCAGTCTCTCCGTTCACCTGCAGATGAAACCGCCTTCTGCAACCTCTGAGGGCTATTCTCACGGCCCCAGGAACCCATCGCCCCAACTTGCGTTGCATCCACCAAAAGGAAACACAGAGCCAATCTATGAGGTATTTTTTTATGTCGTGTAGAGTCTTTAGAGAGGTTGAGAGCTATGGCCAATTTGCTTGTCCCTCCTTGCTGAAGAATCTGTGAAATAAACTATCGAGAGATTTTCCCTTTAAGGACCTTTTCAACCCCACCTCATCCATTTCCATCTCATCGCGTCACTTCATCGCCATCCTCTTCCTCTCCATCTCATCCCATTCCTGCTCTTTCCAGCTCTCTGTTTAACCCAGCCCATCCTCTCTGTTCCTTAGCCCTCGCTTCCTCTCCGGTCCACGTCCCTACTTACATTCGTTGCCACGTGATCGGCTTTCATTTCATCCCACTGTGTTCTGTTTCTTCTCATTCTATACATTTTTTTCTATTCGCTTTTTTTCTTTCCATTTCCTTCTTTCTTTTCCCTAATTTCCTTGTTCCCATCCCTTCCCCTTCCATTCGATTCTGTTTCACTGCTTTCCATTCCCTTTCGCTTGACTCTCTTCCTTTTATCCTTTTTCATTCCTCTCTACCCATTCGCGCTACTGTATTCCGTTCCACTCCATTGAATTCCACTCCATGCTTTCATTTCCACCTGCTCCTGCTGTTTTCCTCCATTGCACTCCAGTTCCATACGTCTTTGTTACTTTCCATTCCATACTTCCCACTTAATTTCCTACCCTTATTCCCTTTTATTTCATGCTATTGCATCAGTTTCACTCAATGCCATTTAATTATTTTAGAGTCTGCAGTCTTTCCCACTCAGTTCCATTGTGACCCTGCCTTCGTTTTCATTACTCGTCTTTCCACTTTATTGTATCTGACTTCATTGTTTTCCACCGTAATTTTCCCTTCCATTCCATTCCATTTCTCTCCATCTCACCCATGCCTTCCCCGTCCCTGTCAGCTGCATTGCTGACCTAGTCCTTTTAACTCATTTCTTTTTATTTCCGATCCTTCATTTCTTTCATGATATTTACTCCCCTACATTTCTCCCTTGGGGGACTTGAGGCAGTTCACAGCAGGCTTATAAAATGGTGCTATAATCACACCACATTATAAAATGGGGCTAAATCAGAAATAGGAATCACAATCAGAAAAAGTATTTTTAACAATAGTAGGAAGTCAAGATGTGGATAAAATGTAAAAATGCGCTGGACCTGCCTAGTGTTTGTCCCTATACGTCTTATTTGTCTCTGAGTTCCCTGGTGGCCAAATGAAAAAGAGAAATACTATCAGTTTCATCACCTGAAAGGAAGAAAAACCACTGGCTCATCCAGACATAAGTGGGGCTTCCCATAGCAAGGTCGGCTAACTTGGGTGATGGCTTCCGAGTTCTAAGGGCAAGTGAAATTAGAGAACTCAAGTGATAACACCTGTTGTTGGAACTGGCCAGGTTACTCCCTGTCCAGGGATGAACTTCACAGCCTGTAGTCTAAGGGAGGCCGTCACCGATGGACTTTGAAGAGCTCAGAGGTGGAAGGGCAAATCCATGGCCTTCCAATCCAATGTTTGGAAGGCCAAACACTGTCCTATTGACAATGTTTTGTTAGGTTTGGAAAAGAGACAGTTTAGGGGCATAGAATTCAAGTATTTTAGTGTCTGAAGGCTGGCTTAAAGTAGAGAGACAAATGTGTTCCCTGTTATTCCAGGGGATAAGTCAGTCAATTGCCTTGGAGGCAATTCAAGGATAGCAAACTTTAGCCCGATTGTCAGAGGAACCATTCTCGAAAGATGTGAATGCCCCGCGTAGCTTAGAGATTCTTAAAAATCCTCATCCAATGATATGTTTGTTGATTTTAGAGAGAGAGAGAGGAAGGAAGACACAGAGAGAGAAAGAGAGAGAGAGACATTGATGTGAATGAGAAACATTGATCGTTGCCTCCCCTATGTGCCCCAACCAAGGATTGAACCTACAACCTAGGTGTGTCCCCTGACCAGGAATCGAACCCAAAACCTTTTGGTGTATGGGACAATCAACTGAGCCACCTCCCAGGGCTATTTTACAAGGCAAACCCTCTGAAAGTAGTTCAGCTAAAATGGGGATTCATTGGAAGAACACTGGGGAATCTCAGATAATTCCATTTCAGAAATTACTTGTGGGCCACATGGGGCCCAAAATCTTATCAGGAAGATTTTTCTCTCTTATGGGACTGCTCACTTTAGCCGATCTGTGAATTGGTTCCATTTTTCTGAGTCCAGGTTGAAACCCTAGGCAACTTTTCTGGTCCCTCCTCTTCCATGACTTCCGATTATATAAAACATCCTCTACTATGTTAGGGTTTCTAGGTTCACATTCTTCAGCGAAGAATCAGACTGGCTCAGACTGTTGCATGGACCGTGTTTAGGTTGGTCAGTTTTCCCATCAGCTATGAACTGGTACAAAGTTAGCCTCCTTGGCACCTCTCTTTATCAGGGTCTTGGGACACGTTTGTTCCCTTTTATCAGTAAAAGAAATGTTCTTCCTGGAAGTCTCACCTACCAAACTTCCTTTTATATCTCTTTCGCGTAAATGCTGTCACATGATGGTCCATGTTGCAAGGAAGGCTGAGAAAGTGAGGTGGTACCCTTCCCAGTCTCTTCACAAAAGCAGGCGAGGGAGAAACATGGGGAAGGGTGTCAGGTCAGTCAACTCAGTGTCTGCTACAGTCTGGAGGGATGAGCAGGAGTGAATCATGCAGAGGGTCTGGAGTGGAACGTTCCAAGTTGAGGGGCATCAAGTTAAAAGGCGCTGAGGTGGGTGTATTGGTGATCTGTTGCTGCATAATGAAGTACCACAAACTTATCAAATTAAAGCAACATACGTTTACTTTCTCACAATTTATGTTCATCAGGAGTCCAGGCACTGCTCATATTGGTCTTCTGCAAGGTTATAATCAAGGTGTTGGCCAAGACTCAGATCTTACCCAAGGATTGACTGGGAGAAGCATCCTCTTTTAAGCTTATGTGGTTATTGGCAGCACTCAGGTCCTTGCAGGTCATCATCTGAGGGCTTCGGTATCTTGCTGGCTGTCAGCTGGAGGCCACCCCCCTCCTTTGCCATGTGGGCTTCTGCACAGGCAGGTCACAATACTACTTCAAAGCCAAGAAAGAAGTCGCAATCTTATGTAACAGAATCATGTGCATACAATCCTGTACTTCAGGGCACCTTTGTCGTATTCCACTGGTTAGAGGCAAGTCACAGGTCTGGCCCTCAAGGTCAGGGGGTGGGGATAACATCAAGGCACAGATACCAGGGTATGGGGGTTATGGGCGCCACCTTAGCCACTGTCCTCCACTGTGGAGAAATATATGGGCCATTCCAGGAACAGTGAGGGGCCAGTGTGACTGAAGTGCAATAACACAGACGGATGACTTTTTGAATTTTCAGTGTTGAGGAAGGAGAGTGCTAGGGTGCTGGGGTCCTGGGTGACAGCAAGTAGAAGGAGGGCTCACCTAGAAGATGGAACTCACCTTTTCTCCTTGTGTAACAGGTGCTTGTGAATCCAGAATGCAGCATTTACTGCCAAATGAAGCCCTCGGTGTAATGGAAGGGAAAGATCCTTTCTCCAGAAATTCTACAGAAACCATGCTCAGTCATACGTTCAATGACATTTATTGGATGCATATTGTATTCCAGCCACTCTCTTTGCAAACTTTGGGACATTCTGTTTCAATGTGTTATTCAGGCTTTGGACTCTAGATCTCACTAAATCTTAGGCTTTTTTTTTTTTTTTAAAGATTTTATTTATTTATCTTTAGAGGGGAAGGGAAGGAGAGAGGGAGAGAAACATCAATGTATGGTTGCCTTTCGTGTGTCCCCTGCTGGGAACTGGCCTGCAGGGAACCAGCCTGCAACCCAGGCATATGCCCTGACTGGGAATCGAACCGCAATTGTCTCGTTCGCAGGCCCGCGCTCAATCCACTGAGCTACACCAGCCAGGGCAATCTTAGGCTTTTGACTCATATTTTTTTTAAAAACAACAGAGACAGGGAAAAAGTAATCTGGAATTAGAGGGCCAGTGTTTGAGACCCAGCCGCTGGCGTGGCCATAGCTGCATCATAAGAATAGGCAACACCACCGATGGACACAGCATTCAGAGAGAAGTGTGTGAGTCAGCCAAAGATCTTAGGCTTTTAACATTGTTTTGAAAATAGTAGCCAAATGCAACCCAACATGAAAGGGGATATCTGGTTAAAAATACTTAAGAGATGGAATTATTATCTGTAGATGATTATCTCACTACGAGAGCCAAGAGAATCAAATGGAATACTCTAAGAATTCATAACATTTCAGTAGGTTAACCAGATATAAAAGAAATATATATATTTTTAAAACCCTCATCTGAGGACATAGTTCCATTGATTTTTGGAGAGAGAGAAAGAGATCAATGGGCTGCCTCCTGAACCCACTCCAACAGGGGATGGAACCCACAACCTACACATGTGCCCTGACAGAGAATTAAATCAGCAACTTTTTCGCGCACTGAATGACATTCCAACCTACTGAGCAGTGTGGCCAGGGCAAAATAAATATTTCTTATAAAAGCAATGACAAAGTTATAAGGAACTCTAAGGGTAGAAATTATATTTCAAATAGAATATTTATTGTAGCTGTTAAAGGTCAGAATATATGTGAGGAAAACTAGGAGTGTTTTGGAAGCATTTAAAGAAACTTAAAAATACTGTATTTTCACACAACTGGGCTCCAATTTTCTGCTTCCTCCCTGGTGGGAAGGAAATATCACAATTCCCTTAGTGTGACTGGGCTGATTAATGAGATGTTGGCTGTTAATGTGTTTAACATAGAACCAGGAACCTTTATTTATTCAAAACAAGTATTTATTTAGCATCTATTATTGCAAGGTACCTTAGGAGCTGGGACTAAGGCAGTAATAAAATAGATACAAATCCTTTCTTTTAAGGAGCTGACAGTTTAGTGGTGAGGGCAGACGGACAACAGACAACATAAATATGTGAAATACATTATGTGTTCCATAGTGAAAAGTTTTCTGAAAATAAAGATGAGGTGGGACACAGGGATTATGTGGGGAATGAAGGATTTGTTTGCAAGTTTACAATGGTTGGGGGGGCAATGCCTCAAGAGAAGGTGACCAGATTGTGGGAGATCCTCAGAGGAAGAGTCTGCCAGGCAGCATAAACAGCACATGCAAAGGTCCTGAGGTGAGAGTCTTCTTGAATTGTCAGAGAAAATAGAAATGCCGGCATGACTGGGGCTGAAGCAAAAAAAAAAAAAAAAAAAAAAAGGTCGAGATGAAGGCAAAGGGAAGAGAGGGAGGGTACAAAAATAAGATTCTTCAAGGGCTTCAAATGAGCTCTCGGGACTGTCTAATGAGTTTGTAGCAGCTGTCTTTGGCCTTGAGGACCAATGAGGCAGTGCGTGCCAAGATTCCGACACGCAGGTGCTTGGGAAGGCTCCAGTGGAGTCCATCAGATCCCAATTTCTTGGCCCCTCCTGGGCGTCAAGTCGGGGCCTGGGCCAGTCTTTTCCCAAGTTTGCCACTCCTCACGCATTGGCATCTCATCCTCTGCCTTCCGGTTCCACTTCTCCTGGCGCTACACAATCTCGTACACCTAGGGCATCTCCCAGCTCCGCCCTAAACCGCTTGCCCAGGTCTGGTACTGGAGCGTCCCCACGCCCACATACCCTGAGGCTCTGGGGCCCCGCCCAAGCGCCGCCGAGGCCTCTGGGAATTGTAGTCCGGACTCGACGAGCCCAAATGCACTTCCGGGTTCGGCCAGACGCGCAGCCATTGTCCACCGCGCGGACGCTGACTGTGGCCCCGAGCCTCGGCCCTTGGAGGTTAACCCGAGCGGCTTTTCGAATGCCGAGTTGGGGAGGGGCAGAGCTAGCGTAACCTGAATCTGTCGTGTGCAGAATCGGGGCAGGGGATTCACCAAGCAGGTCCGCGGCCACAGAACCGTAACGGACAGTGAGCCTGGGACAGGCCCGGCCTGGGCGGCGAACCTGTTGACGCCCAGGTTGGTGAGGGGCGGGGCAGAGCGGATTGTCCCCTGAGCGCACGCGCAGCGTCTAGGCGGGAAGCTGGGATTGGGGGTGTGGGTGGGCAATCTGGGACCTACGCCGGCACTGATGCAACTGCAGATTCCGACACTGCTTTGCACGCGTGCGTGAGTCCTGGGTCAGGTGGTGTTCTTGTCTAGATTCTGAGGGTTACCAGGTCGGTGGAAGGCACGCTGTGAGCATCGGTGTTGAGGGGGTGGGTCCTGAGAACCCCTCCTCCCCTCATCCAAGGCTAGGCCTAGTTAGTGGAGGAGGACTTGAGGACCACTGGGTTGATGAAGTACTCATTTTCAGATTCTGGTTCCTGGAGGAGAGGGACTGTGGCATTGTTCCTATACCCTTGAGCAGGTGTTTGAGTAGGAAGCACAAGGTTAGAGGTGAGATCCTGGGCACTTGACTCTGGGACCCTGGAGCAGGTACTGCCCTTGAAGGCCTGGAGGCCCCCTGAGTAATGGAGAGACCAGGTGGGAGTTGCAGATTCTTGCTCTTGGAGAGGCAGTGTTGCTTCAGCGAACCCTCAGTGGGAATGGCTGATGGACTGCAGACTCTCAGGTGGAAGGAAGAACCAGGGCCTAGAGGCAGGTCCTAGCCAAAGTGCTCCCTGCACATGCGGGCGGAGTGCGGTGTGGTGGTTCAGAATGGGAAGCAGGAATTTGGACTGGTAGTGTTGGGTCTCATGTAGGCTGGTGCAGAGCCCTAGGACATTTAGGCTTGGTGGAGACACGTTGGAGGTATAGAATCGGAGCCCAGGAAGGAGAGTCTCAGCAGCTGCCATCACATGGGCAGCTGTGTGGGAGTGAATCAGGATGCTGCCAGCGTGATTACGAAGTAGGTGTTCCCGGGACCTTTGGTCAGGGGCTACTCTGCTTGCAGGCGTGATCATGCCCAGGTTGGTAAAGGGACAGACAGGGATTGTGCTGCAGACTTGAACCTGGAAGGGGCTGTATTCATTATGGCACCCAGGTGCTCACGTTTGGGTGAGAGGAAGTGGAATGTCCCAGTTCCCCTGGGAGCTGGTCCCTCACGGGCTTGACAACCCTCAGGCCAGTGCCCAAGTCCTGGGGCTGCTTTTGGAGCTTTGTGCTCAAGCTGCTGTTTGGGGTGTTTGGATGTTTTTGCGGCAAGAAGGCAGCGGAAACGGGACCCCGGAATCTTCACAGAGACTTGCAGGTGCTGTTTGTGTCTCAGGTGGGTTGAGGCACAGAAGGGGAGATACGTCAATAGATTCTCATCTGAAAAGCAGGAACTGTGTAAGACCTGTGGGCTGGCGGAGGGCCAGGTCCTGGATGCAGGTTCTGGGTGTGAGCCTGCTCTGTGGATGCGAGCAAGAGGAGGGAACCTGGGTGGGTGACCTCTGTGCAGTGGCCCCTGCAAAGAGAGCCAGGATAGACCCCTGGGAGTGCAGGCCTGGGGGCCCCGTTTTGGAGCAGCAGGTTCTGGTCTTGGGGTCCCTCCAGCTTCAGTCTGCACATGTGCTGGCGTTTGAGCAGAATGGAGAGGCGTGGGCAGTCCTAGGGCCCAGGTACTTGCCTGAGGATGCTCAGGTGGGCAGAGGGCACAGCTGCAGAGGGGTAAGGCTGCACCAGGTCTCCACACACACACAGGTGTTTTGGTGAGAAACAAGAGGCTAGAGTATTAGACAAGGGCGCTGGGGTCTTTGCGCAGATGGCACTCCAGTCACAGCCTGGGGATGCCCAGGTTGGTAAAACGACAGCACCTTTCTGCGCTGCAGGTGCCCAGGAAGATGTTTGGGCAGGAGTCTGAGCAGGTGTGGCTCCAGTGGTGGCCTGTGGAAGTTGCGGAGGAAACGGTTTGGGTGCAGAATCAGGGTACAGTGGCCTTGTGACCCACACTATACTGGTTGAATGAGATTCCCATGCGGGTGAGGGGATGGGTAAGAGGGAGGGGTGTGGTGGGGGTGGGATGCATAGGTTGGGATTTGCTGGGGCTGTTCTAGTCTCATCTTGGGCCCAGAATCGTCGAGTTGGTACAAAGATAACTGAAGTACACATTCTGGGCCTGCGAGGGGCAGGCACGTGCTGGGATCTGTCAGGAGGCTCCCAGTGCCAGGCTCTGCTGCCAGTTTAGGCCTGAGGACATCCAGGACGGTGGAGGGACCAGGTCAGAGCTGCACCTTCAGGGCCCAGGAGGGTTTGGAGTGGGAATCTGGGCTGGTGCCGACCCCCGAGTGGTGTCAGGAGCAGGTCGGGGTGCAGCTGAGCTCTGTGCATATGCTCGGCTATTTTGGCGGGACTTGGGAAGCAATTGATGACAGGCAGGTAGAGTCGGGTCAGGGTAAAGGGAGGGGAGGGTCCTGTTCTGGGAGGGGCTGGATCACGGGCTTCCTGCATTTAGTCAGGGAGTGTGATTCGGCACCCATCAATCCCAGAGCCCTGCTGCTTGTCCTAGGAAGAGGTGCTGGTTTGGGGCTGCAGATTCCAGGTTGGGAAGGAAGGGGTACACACCAGGGGGTCCTTGGTGAGCATGCCAGGTGTTTGTGGGGATCCCAGGATCCAGTGGGATAGTGGGGAACTGGTTTGTGCTGCACGTGGTGGTGGGCAAAGGCTGCATTTGGACGTGAGGTGGGCTTACTGGTGTGTGGCCCAGAAGCCCACGATAGTGGAGGAACCAGTTTGCAGCTGCAGAGTCTTGGCTCGGGAGAGGCTCCAAGGGAACCTAGGTGTGTGCACAGCTCTTCGGGCTAGAGTCTGGGCAGGAACCTCTAGAAATCTGCACACTTCTTATGGGGAGTGCATCCTGGAAGCGGAGACTAATCCAGGGAGCAGGGTGCTACGGTGGACCTGCAGGAGGGTGCTGTTCTCAGGGCTCCTCCCCTTGCAGCTCAGGACCTCAGGCCCCTGCCCGAGGGAGGAGAGCATGGAAGAGCAGGATGAGAAGCCTCCTGGGACCCTGGAGGCCTGTGTGCAGGTGAGTGAGCTTCTCCCCACCCCACCCTGGAGACCCAGAGCTTGCTCCCATCCAGGTCCCACCACCCAGCCCTCTGGGCTTGGGAGCCTGGCCTGGCCCCCTGCAGGGTTCTAACACACACCATGTATTTAATGAGGCTCCCAGCATTTCTTCACCCTTGTAACCCACATAACTCTTTCTGGGAAGAATTTGGCATGCTGTGTCAAAAGCCCTTAGAATACGGATTGCCCTTTGGCCAGCAGCACGGCTTTGCTGCAGAATGAACACCTGGAAAGAAGGTTTGAGAATGCGTAATGCAAGGGGAGAGTTCGATGAGTTATGGTAAGACCGTGAAATGGAACATACTGTAGTCATTGAGATGGTAATGAGTATTTACCAACATAAAACAATACTTATGTATGATCTGTGTTAAGTCGGTAGCATTTAGAATGACCACCTTTTAAAAAATGGATGTAGTTTGTGTAGAGAAAATATGTTAAGAGACTGTAAATACAGTAGTTAACAAAGATTATCTGTATGTCACATTTGAGATGACTTTATTTTTTCATTTATTTATCTATATTTTAGCACTTCTGTACAGTGCATTTTAAGGTTAAGAAATGAACGATATAAAGCATTTCCCTACAGCAAATATTCTCTGAAAACATCTGATTTCTTTAAAATGTTAAATGAGGGTATCACCTTTGCCTTCCTGAACACTGCAGTCCCGAAGCCTTTGTGGGGCAGAGCTAGGCAGGCGTCTGCAGTTGAGGGAGGGCTCCCGGTGTGAGGTGTCACAGCCTGATCTGGGTGAGGAGGGCGTCTGTATGCGGGGGCGTCAGTAACCCAGTGGGGTGAGGAAGGTGGCAATGGGGGTCTGCGCCCATGTCAGGTGAGGTGAGTGTCCATATGGGTTTGGGGTGCTGGGGCCAGAGCAGGATGACATGCAACACATGGGGGAGGGGGTGCATCCTCAGGTGGTGTAGCATATTCTGAGCAAGTCGAGGGCATACATACACGAGGGTAGCCTGGTGTTGGGGTATCAGAGCCCAAGCCCGTTGTCCAGGACACTCACACAGAGTCCAGGTCCAAGGGGCATGAGAGTGAGTCCATAAGAAGAGGCCACCCGGCCTTCAGAGTCAGAGCCCAAGCAGGGTGTGGAGGGCCCCTTGGCGGAGGGTGGCCTCCGTGGGGCTGCAGAGCCCAGGTGGACCAAGGAGCATCTCGCTAGGGTTCTCACCGTCCGAGACAGAGAGAGAGAGAACCCTGGGATGAGCAGTGGTGTCAGCGGGCATGCGAGGTATCAGTGCGGCTCCTGGTTTCCAGTGTGTCGGACGTAGAGGTGTGTGTGTGTGCTAGGTGGATGGGCACGTATGTGTATAGACACACGTCTGTATTCCCTGTCCCTGTCCACTCTTGAGGCCCTGGGAGTGGACATTCTGATAGTGGCGTGCACACCTGGTGCCCAGATTTCGACTCCTGAATGCCTGCTGCAGATTTTATGGCCTTATTGTTAATGGATATTTAGTGTTCGGTATTTCCTATTATAATGGCACTGCTGTAAATGTTTTTGTATGTGCTCCTTTGTTCACATGCACAAGAGTTTTCAAGGGAGTTACGCAAATATAAGTTTACATTCATGTTTTTATCAAAACTACAGGCATAACGCATTTTGTTGTGATCATTGGCATTCTACCATAAGCTAGTGATTTCGTGTCTTTTCTCGTAATCTTAAAGGTCTTTCTTCTATGTCATACAACTGAATTAGCAATCTGATCGTGATAATGTTTACGTTCCTCACATATTTATTTATTTATTTATTTATTTAAAAGATTTTATTTATTTATCTTTAGAGGGGAAGAGAAGGAGAGAGAGAGAGAGAGAAACATCAATGTATGGTTGCTTTTCATGCACCCCCTGCTGGGAACTGGCCTGCAACCCAGGCCTGTGCCCTGACTGGGAATTGAACCACGATTGTCTGGTCCGCAGGCCCGCGCTCAGTCCACTGAGCTACACCAGCCAGGGCCTCCTCACATATTTATTGATTGCCTAACCAGCGTAAAGCCCTATGTGAGGCACCGGGGAGAAAGATGACATAGTTCTCATAGACAGAACTGTGCTTCTTATATACCCCAAGGTTACATAGGAAAAGCAAAAACAACTTTGTTCTTGTATTAGTTGCCCATGGCTGCATAGCTCGGAACTTAGCAGCTTAAAACAACCAACATGTATTATCTCACACATTTTCTGAGGGTCAGGCATCTGGGAGCAGTTTCTCTGGATGCTTCTGGCACTGGGGTCTCTGACGAAGGTGCCAGGTTGTTGGCTGGGGCTGCTGCCCTCAGAAGCTTGACTGAGTCTCAGGATGACCCTTTGTAGGGTCACTCATGTGGTTGTTGGCAAGAGGCCCCGGTTCCATACCACGTAGCCCTCTCTCCAGGACTGTACACCACAGCAGCTGGTTTTTCCCTGCACAGGTGACTGGGGGCGGGGGGGGGCAGAGAGCAAGAACAAGAACATGCTTAAATGCATACAACCAAGATGGAAGCCATAGTGTCTTTTATCACCTGATCTCAGAACTGACACATCATCACTTCCTCTGTAATCTGTTGGTGTAACCACCAGGAGGCGCCATCATTGGAAGCCATCTTGGAGGCTGGCTACCATACTTCTCAAATCTGAATGTCTTCTAGTTAATTTTCTTAACTAGGTAACTGTCAGGCCCAGGTACTTTGGGCCTGGCAGATATTAAATAGAGCCATGGCAGGGAGAGAACTCAAGGGAACCCAAGTCTTGGCTTTGAATGATGGACACGAGTCCACTGAACTGGCCTAGGAAGAGACTGTATTGGGGCATCGTCTGAGAGATTTCAGTGATTTACACACCTGGAAGTAGCTGGACTGGGGGAGACCTTGAGGCGACTCTGAGCCCTGCCTGCCTTCAGAGCCTGAGACCCAAAATCCTGCCAGGGGTGTGTGGTGGAGGCTCACCTGTTCCCTATCATTGTCAACATTCAGAGACGGCAGGTTGTCTGTGAGGTGGTTACTCCATGGTGGAGGGTCTGTTGTGTGTACCTGAGTTATTCATGGATACTCGTCATTATTCATGGTGATCGTGGAGGGTGGGAGAGAGAGGGTTTTTTTGTGCATGAGAACCAGCAAGACCCTCTCTGGTCAGGAGGATCAGTGAGAAAGTCAGGCAGGGAACCTGCAGCTTTCTCAGCAGGGTGGCAGGTGATGTTACCCCAGGGCCCTGTATATCACACCCCTTGCACTGAAGTGTTACCCCTTCGTCTCTCGAGGGTAATGAGAGAAATAAACACAGCAAAGAGGGAAAGTCTCCTGCCATGATTGATGCCTATCTGAGTTAGCATTCCAACCTCCTTCACAGATTTAGAGGGTTTCCAGCCGGCATATCCCAAATGCAGAGCTTCCGCGACTGAGTTCAGTACTAATTCTGTGATTTGACTGGAAGCTTGTTTTTTTCCCAAGAACCGCCCCCTTCCTCGTGGTGGGAAGGGTATGTTTGGTCAACTTTATTTATAGGTAAGGAAATAGCAGAGGAGTCCTATGTCTGATTTGACTACAGGCTCATGTGACAGGTTACTCCATGACAGCTGTACTCATCCCTGTTCCTCTGGGTCATGTGTATTTCTACCCATGTCATAGGACAATTATCTTCTGCCTATAACTGTTCTCTGTGCGGAAGTTCAATGGTCTGGTTCCTGTTCCCAATCTGAAAAGCATGCAAAGAAAAAAGGAAACTTTCCTCATTCCATGGAGAGGTGACAGTAGAACAAAAATGATAATTTTAAAATGATCCAGCCCTGGCCGGTGTGGCTTAGTTGGTTGGAGCATCGTCCAACTAAGTTGGTTATGGGTTTGATCCCCAGTTCACACACATGAGGGAGACAACTGATCAGTGTCCCCCTAACATTGATGGTTCTCCCTCTCTGTTCTTCTCCCTTCCTCTCTCTCTAAAAGCAATGAAAAAAAATGTCCTCTGGTGAGGATGAAATACTCCAGAAGGATAGACGCTAAGTGAAATAAGCCAGACACAGAAGGACAGATACTACATGATCGTTTTTCTCTGTGGAATCTAAAACAGCTGAACTCGTAAGAGCAGAGAGTGGTGGCTGCCAGGGGCTGGAGTTGGGGCGACATGGGAAAATGTTGGTCACAGGCGCAAAGGTCTAGTCAGGTGGGATGAGTAATTCCTGGAGGCCTAGTGTGCAATGTGTGGACTGAAGTTAACAGTGATGTACTGTGAACTTGAAGTTGGCTAGGAAAGTTGATCTTAAGTGGTCTCACCATACAAAATAATCACAAAATAATGGTAACTATGTGAGGTGATGGGTATGTTAATTAGCTTGCTTGTGGTACTCATTCCACAATGTATACATACAATCAACGTATCATGTTGTACACTTTAAATATGTACAAATTTTATTTGTCAAGTATACCTCCAACGTTGCAAAATAGTGGAGAAAAAATGGCCCAGAGCACACAGAAGTAGGGGTAAAGGCTTTTAATTAGACTCGTATATCCCAACCCTGAATATATATCTAGTCCTGTCAAATTCAGATGACTCAATGCTGGGGAGAATACAAAGTAGAAAAATATACTGTTTTTACAGTATAGAATTCATGACCCACAGAAGAGGCATATAGATAAGTAATATGAAGAGCGATTTTACTGGAACAGTAAGAATCTGGTAAAAACAGCTAAGAAATCCTAAGGAAATAAGGGATGAAACTTAGTGCTATCTGGGAATGCTTCATGGGAGAGGTGGCATTTGATCTGAGGCTTGAATGATCAGAGTTTGAGCAGTGGAGCAGTGGAAAGGGGAGGAGTGCGGATCAGGCAGTCGGTGTGTGGGCCATCCCCAGTGAACTCCATGGACTGAAATGCGTTAACTAAACTTTACAACCATTCATTTCTGTGTGGGTAAAATAGACATCACTCCTCCGAAAAGTTAGGTAGCTGTGTGAGATATTCTGTGTTGAAGTACTCTGTGTGTTGTTAAACATAGTAGGCAAATGATAGATGGTAGGAGTGAAGCTATAGATAAGATATTATACTGATTATACTGGAGACCTTCCTAAAATAGTCAGTAACCCAGAATGGCTAGGAAGAGTGTAGACGTGTGTGTGTGTGTGTGTGTTCACTTGTGCGACAAGATGGTTCTTGAGCATTTAGTTTGAGAGAGAAAGTTGGGAGTAGGTTCTTGAGGATGAAGCTCTGAATCTTCTGAGAAGGAAGGACTCCCAAAGAGGTTTCTTTCAGCTGCAGGGGGGACTTGAGCTCAGCCATAGTTTGGTGACTTCAGGAACCATGGGGACAAATGTATAGGCTCAGGTAGCACATGCCATGTCCTTTTGCTCAGTGATTGTGTTACTGTCAGCACACATTTTTGAAGTGCCTCCTGTGTGTCAGTACTGATTTGAGCCCAGTGAAAGCCTGGTGAACAGGAGAGCTCAGCATTTACTGAACCCACTCTAGTGGGAGTGGAATTAAAAGCAAAACAAAGGTGTAAAGTGAAAGCAGGGTAAGAGGCAGAGTGGACTGTTTGGATGGGACAGGGAAGGATATTTGATGCAGAGTTGACTGACTGAGCTGAACTTGTCTCCCTTTTACTTTCCCTCTGAAAACTTCTGTTTTACTTATTTATTTTATTGATCCTCACTCTAGGACATTTTTTCATTGCTTTGAGAGAGAGAGAGAGAAACAGTAATGTGAGAAACATTGATTGGTTGCCTCTCCTATGTGCCCCAACCCGGGATTGAACCTGCAACCTTTCAGTCTATAGGACGATGCTCCAGTCAACTAAGACACACCAGCCACAGCCTCTGTGAAAACTTTTAAAGCAAAAGATGTTGAACACAATTTTGAGTGTGTTGCAGGTGCCTGGGTTGTGGGCTAGGTCCCCAGTTGGGGATGTGCCAGAGGCAGCTGACTGTTGTTTCTCTCTGTCACCGATGTTTCCTTCCCTCACGTTCTCCCTTCCTCTCTCTGGCTCTGAAAATAAGTAGAATCTTAGAACAAAAAAGAATTATTAAAAAAATAGATATAGTGTTAAAACAATGAATCTGCTCCTTAGTTTTTCTGCTCCCCAAAGTGATTGATTTTAATGCTTTGAAGACTGTCCTTCCTGACTTTTCTGTGTATTTTTATATTCTATAAAAATCTGTTCTTGTTCTATAGACTATTCATAGTCTTTTTCATTCAGCAATGTATTATAGACATCTTTCTGTCATTTATACTCCTCAGTTCATGCAAATCTGTCTCTTCTCTTGCCTGCTAAATAGTATTTAGTTATCTGGATAAAGCATAATTTATTTAACCGGGCACTTATTAATGGCCATTTAATCCATCCTCCCATTTTTGCCAGGATAATGTAACCCTTTAATAAGACTTCCTGAGACTTCTGGCCAAGATGGAGGCATAGGTAGACACACTGCCTCCTCGCACAACCAAAAGAAGGACAACAATTTAAAAACAAAAAGCAACCAGAACTAACAGAAAATCGAACTATATGGAAGTCTGACAACCAATGAGTTAAAGAAGACACATTCATCCAGACTGGTAGGAGGGGCAGAGCCCAGTGGAGGGGACTTGTGGCAAGGCGGCGGCTGGTGGACCCAGCGAGGTGGTGGATTGCAGACTGGGTGGTTACACATTTGCACACAGGTAAACCGGGAGGAACAACTGGGGAGCGAGACAGACCTCACAACCCAGGGCTCCAGTATGGGGAAATAAAGCTTCAAACCTCTGATTGAAAAGACTTGTGGGAGTTGAAGCTGCGCAAGAAACTCCCAGCCTCGTAGGAGATGTCGTTGGAGAGACCCACAAGCTCCCAAAACTACACAAGCCCACCCACCCAAGAATCAGCACCAGAAGGGCTAGCAGGGAAAGTGACTGAAAATGGGCAGAGAGCAGAGCAAGCGCCATTGTTCCCTCTCAGACCCCTTCCCCACATACAGCATCACAATAGCAATGTGGGGTGCCCAGCCATGGTGAACACCTAGGGCTCTGCCCTTATACATAACAGGCATGCCAAGACCAAAAAAAATGGCCTAAACGTAAGAACAGATCAGAGCTCCAGAAAAAATACAACTAAGTGATGAAAAGATAGCCAACCTATCAGATGTACACTTCAAAACACTGGTGATCAGGATACCCACAGAATTGATTGAATTTGACCACAAATTAGATGAACAAATACAGGCTATGCTAAGTGAAATAAAGGAAAATATACAGGGAACCAACAGCGACGGGAAGAAACTGGGACTCAAATCAATGGTGTGGACCAGAAGGAAGAAAGAAACGTCCAGCCAGAAAAAAATGAAGAAACAAGAATTTAAAGAAACGAGGAGAGGCTTTGGAACCTCCAGGACATTTTTTTAAAAGATTTTATTCATTTATTTTTAGAGGGGAAGGGAAGCAGAGAGGGAGAGAAATATCATTGTATAGTTGCCTCTTGTGTGTCCCCCGCTGGGAACTGGCCTGCAACCCAGGCATGTGCCCTGACTGGGAATCGAACCACAATCATCTACTTCCCAGGCCCGCACTCAATCCACTGAGTTACACCAGCCAGGGCTCCAGGACATCTTTAAACATTCCAACATCCGAATTATAGGGGTACCAGAAGGAAAAGAGGAAGAGCAAGAAATTGAAAACTTATTTGAACAAATAATGAAGGAGAACTTTTCCAATCAGGCAAAGGAAATAGACTTCCAGGAAGCTCAAAGAGTCCCAAAGAAGTTGGACCCAAGGAGGAACACATCAAGGCACATCATAATTACATTACCAAAGATTAAAATTAAGGAGAGAATCTTAAAAGCAGCAAGAGAAAAGGAGACAGCAGGAGAAAAAGAGACAAAGGAGTTCCCATTAAGACTGTCACCTGATTTCTCAAAAGAGACCTTACGGGCAAGAAGGGGCTGGAAAGAAGTATTCCTAGTCATGAAAGGCAAGGACCTACATCCAAGATTGCTCTATCCAGCAAAGCTTTCATTTAGAATGGAAGGGCAAAGTTGAAGGAGTTCATCATCACCAAGCACTTATTATATGAAATGTTAAAGGGACTTATTTTAAAAAAAGATTAAAACTATGGACAGTAAAATGATAGCAAACTCACAACCATTAACAACCACACCTAAAACAAAAACGAAAGCAAACTAAGCAAACAACTAGGACAGGAACAGAAACACAGAAATGGAGATCACATGGAAGGTTAGCAACAGGGGAGTGGGAGGAGGAGCTGGGGAAGAAGGTACAGAGAATAAGCATAGACGGTGGGGAGAAAATGGGAGGGCAAAAGTAGTGTGGGAAATGTAGAAGCTAAAGAACTTAAGACACATGGACATGAACTAAAGGAGGGGAATGTGGGTGGGAGAGGGTGTGTAGGGTAGAGGGGAATGAAGGGGGGAAACGGGACAACCGTTATAGCATAATCAATAAAATATATTTAAAAAGACTTCCTGTGCATACATAAGTGTATTTTCTACAATATTTCTTAAGGAAATACAGGTAGACTTACTGAATATTACATTATGGTTTTAAAAATATTCCCATTGAAAAGACAAAAAGAAAAGCAAAAGGTATCTACTAACACTGACAAAATCTGAGTAAAGTGTGTGCCTGTGTTTGAAATATTGTTCCAGTATCAGTTTCCAGGTTTTGACAGTGGGCTGTGGTTGTGTCTGGTACTAGCATTGGGGGGAGCTGGGTGAAGGGTACACAGGAATTCTGTTCTATTTTTGCAGCTTCTTGTAAGTCTTAAACTACTTCAAAGCAAAATTATATTTAAAAACATGTATTGCCAGTCCAGAAAGATTGTATGAACTTAAACATCCACTCAGAGGGTCATCCACTATATGACCCTCTTGACCAGCGGGCCACCATAGGAAGAGTCGTTAGCAACAGGCTAACATGGCCTACTTCACGTGGTTGGAATTTTGGTTACATATAGGTTTTTTTTTTTAAAGATTTTATTTATCTTTAGAAGGGAAGGGAAGGAGAGAGAGGGAAACATCAATGTATGGTTGCCTTTCACGTGTCCCCCGCTGGAACTGGCCTGCAACCCAGGCATGTGCCCTGACTGGGAATTGAACCACAATCCTTTGGTTCACAGCCCGCACTCAATCCACTGAGCTACACCAGCCAGTGCCTACATATAGGGGTTTTGAGCAAATCAGTAAATAGAAAGAGGATAATGGGAGGCGGAGAAGAAAGTTACAAATATGGAAAGCAGGAAGGCTAGAATAAAATGTATTGAAATGTAATCAGAGGTACCAGTGTGAATTTATGGTCTAATATATAGAGATAGAGAATCAGAAAGAGTTTCAGTTTTATTTGATTCAAAGAGGTGAACATCTTTTTGTATGTCCACTGGCCATTTTGTTTCTTTCTAGTTGAGCTACATTGCATTTTCCTTTGCCCATTTTTCTGTCAAGGCTACCTTTTTCTTATTGACTTGGAAGACATATGTTAAGATATTTATTGCTGGTGCCTTTATGGTGCTACTTCCTGCCAAATGTTTTGTGAAGTTAATGTATAATTTTTTTTCTTGGTAATGCTGTATTCTGTCTTATTTGCTCACAAGTCTGAGATCCAGGCATTTGGACCAGGCCCAGCTGGACAGTGCTTTTCATCTGCTTAGTGCCTGGGTCACTTACAGCTCCATTCAGCTAGGAGCAGGGCTGGCCTGGAAGATCCATAAAGACCTCATACGCACATCTGATGTTTCAATGCCCTTCCAGAGTTACCCCCCATTTCCTTTTGGCTCCCATGAACTTACTGATGGGAGGGAGCAGAAGTTTGGTGGGATGCGTAAAACAGGTGGTATGTCAAATTCTAGTCTACTCACAATGAAAGTTTTGAGCTGTCCCTTAGCTCCCTTTATTTTCCTTTCTCTTGTCTATTTTACCTTCTTAGGACTCTCTCCTTCCTCAAGAAGTGATCATCAAGGTCGAGAGAGAAGATGCTGGGTCATTGGCCATCCCATCCCAGGTGAGTTGGACATATGGCCTCTTCACATTGAGAAGTGTGTGTGGCTGGTTGGTGGCGGAAGCCAGATTGAAGTGAACTGGGAAGTGAGTATAAAGTAATGGAAATGGAGATAAAAGAGTGGGCAACTTTTACAGAGTTTGGTTATCATGTGAGAGATTGAAGAGAGTAATAGCTCTGAGGAAATTTGAGCTTGAGGGACTTTTTTTTTTTTTTTTTAAGGATCGAAAAGGTTTGACTCTAAGTGGTTGCCGGGAGGAGTTAGTGGAGAACAAGAAGTTAATGATCAGGAGAGGTGAGATAAAACTATAAGACAGAGTCCTTGATTAGGGCCAGGGGAACCAGTTCAGAGCATATGTGAATAAACTGTCTCTACAGAGGAAGAAGACGCATATAGGATGGATGAGGTTGAGGGAGTTACATGAAAGCTTGGATTTGCTCTGAGCAAGCAGGTGGAATTATCTGTTAGGCATGATGGTGGGGACTGGAATGGAGAGCTGGTTGTGAAGTGTGGAGAAGCCTTGCAACAGTGATTTGGGATTACGGGAGAGCAGGCTGCTCCAGGAAGCCTGTCAGGGTGCTGGTGGGTCTGAAAGGATCATTCCAAGATAGGACCATTAATTGATAACACACTATCCAGCTGCTTTTGTGGGTTCCCCCCAAAGGGGGGCATACTGTATCCTACTCTCCACAGATGGCAGATTGACATTCAGATTTGTTTAGTTGTTGTAGCCATGTGCATTCAGTGGAAGCCCCATAGATCGAGGTAATATTTGAAAGAGAATTTTTGGATGTATTTGATAGGATTAAAATGAATGAGCCACAGACTCTAAACTGAGCAATTAAAATGGAAAAGATAAGGAGGACACTAACTAGAAAGGAAAAGAATATAGACTGGTAGAAAGTAATAGTAGACATATCAGTAGAGTTAATGGCCCCAAACCATCCAAGGACAAGAAGGGTAAAGGGAATAATTGAGCAAGTAAAGTGGAGAATTCTGCTAGAGGGGTGAGGGGGCTGGAGGACTAGGTAAAAATGGTGAAAGGATTGAGAAATACTGATTCGTAGTTAAAAAACAGTCTTGAGGATGTAAAGTACAGCATAGGGTGTATAGTGAGTAGTATTGTAACAACTATGTATTTCCAGTGCCAAGTGGGTACTGGGAATATCAGGGGGACACTTTGTGAAGTATACGATTGTCTAACCACTGACTGTACACCCGAAACTAATACAAAATAATACTGAATGTAAACTAATTGAAAATAAAATGTAAAGATAGTCTGATGTAATCAAAAATAATAATCTGATTTAACCCAAGAGTAGGCAGTTGTGTGTGTGATTTGAGAGATGGAGTACTTTATGTTCATTAAGTCTGGGGTCTCTCTCTAAGAGTGAGGTGCTGAAGAGCAATTCCAGGGTCTGGGAGTTTGGCTACCTATGTGACGTGATGACTGAGAGCACACGCTCTGATGTCAAGCAACCTTGAGTTTGTATCCCAGCTACCAGCCTTAGGCGCATGTGTTAAATTCTCTAGTCCTTCATCTGAAAAATGGCCCTGCTAATAGAATTTTCTCACAGGGACCTTGTGAGAATTAAGTGAATGATAATTTGTGATATGGACAGCACACTGCTTAACACCACATAGTAATGCTATATTCAAGTCAGTTATGTTTGTAGTATTGTCAGAGAACTGTACAAATAGATGTTATAGACCAGTGATTTTCAACCAGCGGGCCACAAGAATTTTTAAAACATGCAATACTTGACTATTTGTTCAGGGACACTGACTTCTTTTCCCTTTGATTGTCAAGTAAAAAATGACAACAGCCAGCATAACAGTAGCCATCCAATGTGAATGCCATGTCTTGAATCATGAACATGTAGGTCATATAATAGAGTTACATCTTATTGGTCACATCATATAATCAGGTTGCATCTGATCAGTTAATTCTGGGTACAAGAAATCCTTATATACAAATATAGGCACCCAATTTTCTTTTAAAAGTCACTTAGAAGCAAAAAAATAAAATTACTATTTTATTTTCTGTAAATCAATAAAAATTAGACCTATTTTTGGTCAGATCAGCAAAAAAAAAATTTTTTTAGTGTGTCACAGAATTTTAGGAATTAGTTTAAGAGGCTGTGAGATGAAGAAGGTTGAAAATCACTGCTATAGGCAGTGGGAGACAAAGCAATTCAAGTTCTTAGAATGGGAGGAGAATCCTAGGTATTCTCAGTCTTCAGGGGGTGGGGATGGTGGTGTTTTAGGACAGAGCTCTAAGAAGTGAGGTAAATGATAAGGATTTCAGTGTAACCAGGAGACTCACCCCCTTCGCCTTTGATGCTGAGACCCTGGGGTGGAAGAGCATGTCCACCCTAAGCTTGTGAGGACTGTGGAGAAGGGAGTCCGCAGCAGGGAGGGTAGGTTTCCATTAATGGATGTGGAGGGAATATTTGGTGAACATGTTGAAGCTGTAGGGTGTCATTATTAGAAGATGAGTTCTGAAGGGCACGGTTGAAGGGTTTGGGAAGGGATTTGGAAGAGTTGGGGCCAAATGAGAGGAAGAATAGATTGTGTGGAGATAGAAGTTAAGAAAAGCCAGTGTCCACATGTTGAAGGACTTTTTTTTCAGTCCTTACCCAAAGATATATTTATTGAATTTTAGAGAGAGAAAGGAAGGGGAGGAGAGAGAAAAACATCTATCAGTTGCTTCCCGTACACGCCTCTTCCAGGGATCAAATCCACAACCTAGGTATGTGCCCTGACCAGGAATCAAACCTGCAACCTTTTGGTGTATAGGACAGTGCTCCAACCCACTGAGCCACTTAGCCAGGGCTTCAAGGACTTTTTCATATGGGTATTTGATAGGCTCTGAGTTTTAGGTGAGAGAAGACCTAAATCAGAATTTGGACCAGGATTATTTTGATACATTACAAAGTTAATTCTATAGACTCATATAGTGACATAATTTACCAGATATGTATTTAATATTTACTATACACCAACACTGCTAATCATTGAAGTTAGAGTTGCATACTATAAGTGCTTTGTACCTGCTTGTACTCCTCATGGACTGTAGACTAATGACAAAGATGACCATTATGCAAATGATAAGAAAGTGTGCGACTTTGCCAACATATAGCTGGGGTAGAGTGGGAGGTGCTAATCTAGTCTAGTATTACTTATTTGATATTTGAACAAGGTCAATCACAAAGATACCTACATTAAATAGCAAAGAGGAGTACAGGGATGGCCGAAAGTGTGTTTACAGATAAGAGCATGTGAAACACAGTTTATTCTTGCATTAGTATAATTATAACTTGCAGTCTTTCCATATGTACAACTGTAAACCTGCTTTTGCCCACCCCTATATATTAAATTTATTAGATGGAAGCATGGATTAGAAGTTGGAAAACAGTACTGTAGGTCCATATTCAGCAGAGGCTGCAGTTTGTAAGTTATATTTCTCAATCCCATTTTGGGCTAATCAGGAAAACCTTTGAGATTCTGGTGAAACTTATGACCCCAACTTAGAAGAATGCAGTACAGCAGCCTTTTGCATGGAGTTTCATGGGATCCATGGACCCTCTGTCCTATTCATGAATTACAGCTTAATATCTGTAACACTTGCTCTGTTTAAAAAGTTGTTAGTGGCAAGTGGCATGGACTTTCCTGGCTTTTGCTGCCTTCGGGTGAGACTAGATCACGCTCAGCACTTCTTTTTTAGATCAAAATTTCTGCCCACTAGTATGAGAAGAGGTCCTTTCCTGCTCAGAGGAGGCGGTCCCTCCTACTGTGTATGGCAGTCATGACTGAACATCCCCTAAAGTCGGCCTGCGGTGGTGCAGATCTGAGTGTGGACAAGCTGGAAATGTCATCTGAAGTCTAAAGATTCAGGATAAAGTCCACATTGGCTATCACTTAATTTCTCAGGGTTTTCAGACGTAATGATAATTGCCAGCCTTTATGTTGTGTTCAGTAAACACTGCTAATGGCTATATATATATATATCTTCACAATTAACTGATGCAATATATATACATTCATCACTATATGTATATATTTACCATTAAATACATATTCAACACTGTATATATATCATCACTGACTCAATTAACTGACTCAAAAACCCAGTAAGTTGGATATGATTAAGCCTAATAAGTAGAAATAGAATTAAACTCACCATTAAAACACAGATTATCAGATTAGGTATCTTTTTTTTTTTTTTTAATTTAGACATACGCTATTTATAGGTGAGAAAACCCAAGTCTCTTTTCTTTCAAAACCAGTGCTCTTAAGCTCTACTTCATTAGGGCCCACATTTCATCTCCTATTTCAGGCATTAGCAAAGTGGGGCCTATAGACCAAGTGTGGCCTACCACCTGTTTCTTTTTTTTTTTTAATAAAATTTTATTGTAATAAAGCCACACCCATTTGTTTATTTTTTGTACCTGCTATCTTGCTACAGCAGCAGAACTGAGTAGTTACAATAAATTATATAGTTTGCAAAGCCTAAAATATTTACTCTTTGGCATTTGGTAGAAAAAGTTTACTGATCCTTGTTCTGTTAGTTTCTTGGGAATTTGGAGGGAATTCTGTATACCTGTGCAAAAAGCTGAGTAAGCGTTTTCTTTAAGGTGATCAAAAGAGAAAATTTATATTAGTTCTTATCTAGCGTTTTTCTTTGGGGTTGTAAGAGCAGATCCAGCACCCAAAACACAAAGGGGCTCACCTAAAAGACACACGTACACCTTGACTAGAATTCATTGAACACTGGTTATCTCAGGGCAACTTCTGGGCCATCAAATTTCCTTTCTTCCATCTGTCAAACTTTTGTTCCTCTACGAACATTAGAAGGAAATGACGCAGGGATGTGTGTCCTGTTTTAGGAAGGAGGGAACTTCAAAGTTGTCACTGTGGACTTCACTCAGGAAGAGGGCATTTTGAACCCTGCTCACAGGACTCTGGACAGAGATGCGATCCTGGAGAACCACAGGGACTTGGTCTCTTGGGGTAAGGATATAGTCTCTCTTAGTGAAGTGTGCATGTTGAAATTATTTCTTGTTTTCATTGATTAAGAATTCTGGAGTTCAGCCCTGGCTAGTGTGGCTCAGTGGATTGAGTGCCAGCCTGAGAACCAAAGGGCCACCAGTTTGATTCCCAAAACAGGGCACAAGCCTAAGTTGCAGGCCAGGTCCCCAGTAAGGGACAAATGAGAGGCAACCCCACATTGATTCTTCTCTTCCTCTCTTTGTACCTGCTTTCCCCTCTGTCTAAAAATGAATAAATAAAATCTTTAAAAAAAAGTTACGGAGTTCAAAGGTAAGATTAGCCACACATAGATTTTTTTTGTGTGTTTTTTATTCCCTAGTGAAGATTTAATTTTAATTCGTAAGGTAGAAAAGCTTCTTGGGTTTGAGCTTGTTTGATCTTCATAGTTCCCAAAGGCCAAAGATTGGGACCAAATTCTGCAGTAATTTTCTTTTGTCTCTAGCCAAGAAATGCAGAATCCTATATCTTAACCTACCAGCTTTTCAAAACAGACAAAATTTTCTACTTGGAGCAAGGGGATGAGTATAAAAAGAATTTCCCTGTACACATATGCTGGTAAGAAACAGACACACAGGAGTCCTTATAGATACAGAAGGTTTGATTGAAAAATTCCTAAAGGGCATGCCACATTTTTCTCCCTTTTCCATCTCCTAGTGAACAGTATACATCACCACTTTTGCAGGTATTCTCTAATGCTTTATTAGCCACCCAGGCTTCTGCTTATGGGTTAACCTCCATTCTCTCTCACTGGGAATGACAGGAATCCAGAGGGCCATTTTAGCTCCTAAGGCATTTAGGGGACTCTGGAATAACAGTGTCCCCATTCTTCTTCCTTGTTCAGAGTTGTTTGCTCATGTCTTACTGATATAGGCTCTGCTAGCAAGTTTCATGCCTTCAGAAATTCCTAGAAATGTAGACACTAATTTCTATTTCAGTGAACGTGTGTTTAGCACTAAAGAGGGTGGAAAGGGCCCTTTATTACTTTGCTAAGAATTACAAAATTATTTTGAGGTTCTTTTAGTCTGTATAGGCGATCTTAATTTGGAATATGGAAGTTTAGATTTTGTATCTAAAGTCTCAAATATTCAGTAAAACTAAGATTAAATCATTCCATTTTAATGCCATCTTATACTATTGGGCTTTGGTGGTTTTCTTCTTACTGCTTTATCCCACCCTTTTGCTTCTCCATCCAAGTTCTAATAGCTGAAGACAAATCTATTTATACTGATATTTTGCATCCTTTCTTGTCAGCTGTGTTCCACTATTCTAGCTCTAACATTTTTTTTGGCTAGGATGTTTTATTTTGCTTTCTTCTAGACTCAGCAACTGCACTTGGAAGAAGAGAATCAACATCAAAGCAGAGAATTTTTGGTGATGAACCATCCCATGGAGTGAAGTTAGAAAGGTTGGCAAGAGATGATCCTCGGTTATTTTCATGTGAAGAAGTTTGGGTTTGTAAGGACCAGTTGGAGAAGCAACAAGAAAAACCAGAAAGACTTTTGAAGAAAGTGACATTCACTCAAAAGAATGCTAATACTCATGAGAGAGTCTGTAAAAGTGATGAACTTGAGGAGAAGGGTGGTCTGAATTCCAGCCTTCTTTCACCTGAGATGATACCCATAAGAAACCATTTTCACAAACATACCTCACATGTTAAAAAATTACATCGTTCAGTTATGAATGGTCATCAGATAACTGATGACAGTGAGAAACTATGTGAAAATAATGAATGTGGAAAGAAAACGCAGAGCATTCACCTTATTCAGTTTACAAGAACTCAAACAGAAGATAAATCCTATAGATTTAGCAACAGTATTCAATCTTTTAGCCATGGTCTACCCCTAAATATACATGAGAAAATACATGCAAGAGAGAAATCCTTTGATTTTAAGGAATATGGGCAAGTTTTGAACCATAGCATATCCCATAATGAACAGCAGAGAATTTCTGCTGAAGAGAGACAATATAAATGTAGTAAAATCTCCCAGAATTCATCGCTTGCATCGAACATGAGAGATTCTGAAGAAAAGCCCTTTGAATGTAACCAATGCGGGAAATCCTTCAGCTGGAGCTCTCATCTTGTTGCACATCAGAGAACTCATACAGGGGAGAAACCTTACGAATGTAACGAGTGTGGGAAATCCTTCAGCCGGAGTTCTCACCTTGTTTCCCATCAGAGAACTCATACTGGAGAGAAACCTTACAGATGTAATCAGTGTGGGAAATCCTTTAGCCAGAGCTATGTCCTTGTTGTGCATCAGAGAACTCATACTGGAGAGAAGCCTTATGAGTGCAGTCAGTGTGGAAAGTCATTCAGGCAGAGCTACAAGCTTATTGCACATCAAAGAACTCATACTGGAGAGAAGCCCTATGAATGTAATCAATGTGGAAAATCATTTATCCAGAGCTATAAGCTTATTGCACATCAAAGAATTCATACTGGAGAAAAACCCTATGAATGCAACCAGTGTGGAAAGTCCTTTAGTCAGAGTTACAAACTTGTTGCCCATCAGAGAACTCACACAGGAGAAAAACCATTTGAATGTAATCAGTGTGGGAAATCCTTTAGCTGGAGCTCTCAGCTTGTTGCACATCAGAGAACTCATACTGGAGAGAAACCCTATGAATGTAACGAGTGTGGAAAATCTTTCAACCGCAGTTCTCACCTTGTTATGCATCAGAGAACTCATACAGGAGAAAAACCCTATGAATGTAATCAGTGTGGGAAGTCTTTCAGCCAGAGTTATGTTCTTGTTGTACATCAGCGAACTCATACTGGAGAAAAGCCCTATGAATGCAGTCAGTGTGGGAAATCCTTCAGACAGAGTTCATGCCTTACTCAACATCAGAGAACTCATACTGGAGAGAAACCTTATGAATGTAATCAGTGTGGGAAAACATTCAGCTTGAGTGCTCGACTTATTGTACATCAAAGAACACACACTGGAGAGAAACCCTTTACATGTAATCAATGTGGGAAAGCTTTTATTAACAGCTCTAAACTTCTTAGGCATCAGGCAACTCATACTGAAGAGAAACCTTATGAATGCAACTAGTTTGGAAATTTTCTAGCCAGAGTCTATTCCTTTCTTCCTCCCTCCCTCCCGTCCAAGGAAGCACATGTATGGGAAAGAAAATGTATAAAAATAATGCATATAGAAAAGCTTTTAGGTAGCCCTCTGTTATTATGTATCTGAAAATTTCTTGTGGAGAAGAAATGGGGGACTATGGATCATACATCTTACTTAGCAATTTCATATGCAAAATCAGACTTAGTCTTTTGTTTAAGTCTTTTGTTTAATGATACATTTTAAACAAAAGTAATAAATATTGGCACTTTTCTTTGCAGAAAGCACTTAGAGAGAATTACCATGATCATTAAGTGGAGAGTATTCTGTGGAGCGATTGCCAGTGAGGTAGACCTCTTTTCCAAAAAGAGTAAATGAGAAGGCTAACACTGGTGGTGGTGTTGAGGAGTTTGAAAATTGCTGTAGTTGTTAGAAATTAGGCTGGAAAACAATATTTCAATGTATCATCTTAAAACATGATTTTCCTACTAACTACTTTGTAGTTTTTCATATAGCACTTTCTCTTACATATGAAGATATTATAAAAATTAGGAACATGGCTATGATACAAAGTGGATACACAGGACAAGAGTATGGAACATTCATTTCTCAAACCATTGTGATAAGATATTTGTGTTGTGAATCAGAATTAAAAGGGATTCTAGGTATTTCTATTTGACTTTTAGGTTTATGCCTGTTGGTTTTTGTGGGAGGAATGTATACTTTTTTTTTCAAGATTTTATTTATTTTAGAGGGGAAGGGAGGGGGGAAGGGAGGGAGAAATAGAGGGAGCGAAACATCAATGTATGGTTGCCTCTTACTGTGCCCCCCCCCCCACTGGGGACCTGACCTGGCCCTCAACCCAGGCATGTGCCCTGACTGGGAATTGAGCCGGCAACCCTATGGTTCACAGGCTGGTGTGCTCAGTCCACTGAGCCACACCAGTCAGGGACTGTTTTTGGTATAATAAATGATATGATGAGTTTACATTAGTCACAAGAAAGAGAAAGAAAGATTTTCATCTCCTTTGACCGTTCAGAAAAGACTGGACAGTCATATAACAAAGTTTCCTTGGGGTTCTGAAATTCCCATCTGGATTAGCGTGATCAGGTCACTTAGATAGAACTTAGATTACCCAGGAATATTCCCCATTGAAAATAAAATATTTCCATGGGAATGTGGAACTGGAAATTTAGGTCAGAAAGTGTTTCATAGGAGGGATTGAGATTCATGGACAGTGTAAGGGCATGTAGAATTTTTTTCATATATCCAAAGCAATGTAAAGGAGTTCTATTTTTCAGGTGGTTTTCGCCTCTCCCCTCATGTAGATTGTCTTTTTTTTTTTTTTGTCTGAAATATGTTCCTTTATGTGAGAGTCCTCTGAATGGGAAGGCACTGCCCTGGCTAAGTGCTCATCACTTATGCTCACAAGAAAGCTTTTAGTGAGGTAAGATTTGTATCTTCTCATTGATTTGTTTAAGATTTGGTTCATATGTCTGCCTGGCCTTTCCCCCTTAATCATGAATTCTAACCCTATGGATTATGGACCTGGAACCTCTCCTCCCAGAGAATTAATAAAAAAATAATTGGAGTTGAACAGAGAGACCTGAGAATAGAGATGAATTCTCTGGAGAGAAAAAGAAAAGGCTACAGTGACATCTGATGAGGTATTTTCCCAGTAAAATTCTGTTTCTGGGACATGACCCTAAGCAAAGCCATCTCAATGAGGATTAAGCCTGACAGTGCACCAGGAAGTGACTGGAGTTCTGGGGGAACAAGTGTCAATGGCTGGAAAACTGGCTTTCCACCCCATGAGAATCTGTGGTTAGTTCATGACTGTAGAGGAACAGCAGGGGTTCTCCATGCATTGCCTTTTGGAGAGGACATAAAATTGTGAAAACCTGACTAGCTCCCCTGGCACAAATCATAGGTAAAATTGATGCCAGTGCTAGGTACAAGTGGACTATTGTCACTGGGTATGTTGAATCTCACTTTGAAGGTAAGGAGCCATGATTTTAAAAGTATGTATAAAGCCAGATAGCTAAGAAAGAGGGCTCTAAAGATTTGAAGTTTGGGAAGTGATCTATTGCAAAGTAATCTCTTGAGTAAATGTTAAAAATATGTCATTAAAAATGAGAAGTTGATAAAATGGCAAAAACAATTTTTGAAGCGAGTGTGCGTGTGATTTTCTTGGCCAGGTTGAATATGAGAGTCATCTGTGTGTGTTGTATTAGTTCATAGGTGGTGATTTATGGTTACCAAATGTTTTGAATAGGACATTCAATAAATAAACAAAAACGTTAATTTCCATCATTTTCTCAATAATTTCCTTTTGTTGGAAAGGTAGTCTTTTAATTACAAAAATGGTCAACCGAAAATGTAAAGTAATTAAAGTAAAAAATATACCAAAAATATGTAATTAAGCTTCTGAAACTAAAATTCAGGATTAAAAAAGGGAATCAATATCTTGACTTTAATTACATGTGTATATATACACACATATATAATCATATATGTGATATATATTAATCTATATGTGTGTATATATACACATATACCACATAATTTATATGTAATACCTCCCTTACATTAAAAGTGTATAAAACTCATAAAAATAAAATAATGCATTGCTATAGAACAAAAGAGATTTTACAGGTGAAGTTTCTTTTACCATACTCCAGTAAAATTAGAAATAAATGAAAGGTGACCAAAATGTTTTTAACTACATGGGTGTTGAAAAGTACTCCTAGAACCATTTGTGTTTTACATATTTCCAGTTTTATTGAGATACAGTTGACAAGCTTAAGGTGCACAAATGACTTACATATATGTTAAGTGATTACCACAGTTAATTAACATTTGTCATTTCATATAGATATAAAAAAAGGACAAAACGTTTTTTTCCTTGTAATTGGAATTCTTATGATTTACTCTTAGCAACTGTCAGTTATACCACACAGCACTGCTTCTTTCATACATGATTTTTGTATGTTTTAATTTCTTCTGGATTTTAATATTATGTATTCTGTATATTTTTGTTTGTATACTTGATAAGACCAATTAATCTTACCTCAGCCTTTAAAACTTTATCTTTAAAAAATCAGTATTTTTTCACCTCTGCTGGTGTGACCCAGTGGATTGAACACAGGCCTGCAAATCAAGGGGTTGCGGGTTCAACTCCCGGTCAGGGCACATGCCTGGGTGGTGGGCTGGGTCCCCCAGTATGGGCTGCTTGAGAGGCAACCACATATTGATGCTTTTCTTCCTCTCTCTCTAAAAATAAATAAAATCTTTTAAAAAATAAAATAAAATAATCAGTATTTTTTCCATTTGAAGAAGTTGCACATGGATTCAGTTTCCCTCTAGAAGACTTGATGAGTCACATCAGTAAATAGCATTTGGCTCTTCATAAATTGTAGCAGCCTGGGTTCTTAGTTGGAAAGCACATGAGCCAACTCTAGCAAGTTGATTCAGAAAGAGTTCATTAAAAGGGTATTAGGTGGCTCCCATTATTGGCAAGAAAGACTATGTTGATGGCTTTGTTAACAAAAGCAATTAGCAAATCATGCTGCAGGGTCTCTGAGAGTACCTTAATCTTCTCAAAGTTCCTTAAGACACATTAATTTCTTTAATATATCTCTGCATTGATTACTTCTGGTCGCAGGTCTGGGGCAGGTGCCTAGGTCTGGTGGAAGCTACGTGGGAGGTTGGGAAGTCAGGGACGCCATTGTCTTGTGTTTCCTGGAGAGTCCATGGAAAGTTGTAGTAGGTGGGCTGTGCCTTCCACTCACTGTAATTGTGTGGGCAATTTGTCATTCACAGAATTGGTATTCATTTGCTAAGCGGCGGCAAAGAAAAGAAAAGGGTTTCTAGTGTAGCCCACCCTTTCTCCTAGCCATTATGTCAACACTTTCTTCACTTTCTATACTTACATTGTAGATGTAGCCTCCTACTTAACACAATATGTCTCTCTTACCACCAAAGAATGTGTGCACCCCCTTTTGTCATTGCATCCAGTTCCAAGTCTGAGATCTCTGGGTGGTGTCCATTCCTTTTCTATAGTTCAGAGGCTGAGCATTAAGAGAAAAGATAATTAAACCAGGTCACATTTTACTAAGCTAATTTCAGTAACCTCGCTTGTTACCGGTAGGTATTTGGAGGCTTTCTTGAATCACTTGTGAAACCACCATGTTGGTGACATAGTTTTTACTGCTTAGGATAACTTAGTCTGTATTGGGGTTCAGGTGGAGTCTGACTAAATCCATGACTTTCATTATTTTGCATTAAAAATAGTGTTTTAAAAATTTCACTTTTGACATTTGATAAGTGGATTTTTATGTTTGAACAGTAATGTTGGATTTTCAAAATATCCTGTGGCCCATATGTATTGATTTGTAATCCACTGAGGATGGCATTTTGGTGGATGTAGGCTGATAAATGCAACTGGTAAACCTTTCCATAGTCCTCACATCACCTGTCTGGACTCTTCAACATCTATGTTCTATTGAGTGTTCATTCTGAGGTCATGACAGTCTTCGTGATCATTGCCTCTCCTTTAGGGAGGATCGCTAGAATTTCACTGTTGGGTGAAGTTCTTGAAACATGGATAGTCTTGGATATCATACCTCCCTCTTGTTCAGACTCTGCTAGTTCATTCCCTGGCAGTGGTTGCTGAGGTCTGGACTGTTGATATCTATGCCTTTGATTGGCTGCATCATAGATCCAACAGGTTGGTGATTCTTTTCCCCATAAGCACTTCTTGTTCTGTATTTGGTTTGTCTGTATTTTTTCCTCCATCGTTATTTGCTTTCTGAAAGGAAAAGAACCACATTACTCCTGCAGGCTGGAACCTTCTGTGGGTGTAAGTTCCTGATTTTTTTGTGCATTACAGAAATGTCAAGACCATGCCATTAACCTGGGTTGGTAATTTCTTTTTTTAAAACATACAAATATGTAGAATGCAATCATAAGTGGAATATGCTGAATTTTTAGAGCAGTGATTAGGTTATAAAACAACAAAATGGAAAAGCCAGAGGGGATTATTCTGATGAAATCTCGAACTGTTTGTTTGTATTCTCTAATACCGCTATTATCTACTAATTGCATGGGGATGTATTGGATAATACTGGTGAATTCCCTGCTTTAGTATTTTTTTTATTAAATATTTGCACTGGGGTAGAGTTTGTTGGATGCTCTTCACAATCTGGTGCTTTAAGTAAATATTGAGTGTTGATGAGTGTTGATCATCTAGACCTGTATACAGTACAGCCAATTCCAAGATGTGTCCCCAAGAAACTGGACACCCAGTCACCACAAGCTACACCCATCTTGAGTGCTGCAGCCTCTATCTGTGGATGAGTGTCCAGTTACAGCTGTTATGTCCAAACAGGAAGATGGGAAGACTGCTGCGTTTGGGGTACTGTTCTGTTACTGCTGGGTAGAGTTCAGTTGTGTTTCTTTTAGAAAAGGAAAACTAAAGTTTCTAGCTTTAAAAGACACTGAGGAATTGTGGGGTATTTTTGTATTTATGAAATATTCAACTTTGTTAGAAAACACAATGAAAAAAAAGTTTAAGTAAAAGATGGAGACTAGGTTAAAACAAGAGTTAAATTGGAAACAGCAGCATTAGTTCATACTCTTTTAAAATTTTTATTTATATATTTTTAGAGAGAGGGGGAGGGGGGAGAAATATCAATGTGTGGTTGCCTCACGTGGCCCCCACTGGGGACCTG